TTAAGTACGGTTAATGGTATGGGACTTCAAAATCGAAGCAAAAAAATATTACTATTGCCTTCGAAATAAGTGCTGTAAAAAAGAGTGTATTTACGACAGTGCATAGAGTGTCCCCAAGTTAAGACACACTTTTCTATACTATCTCTACCACAAAGCCTTTTGCTGACCTTTGGATACCATTCTGTAGAGCTGGTTTCAAGTTAGAGCTACGGTATGCATTGAATTACCGGTTGTTCGATTACTACAGGTAATAATTTTCTGTGTTGTCCGATGTGCCTTGAGCGACATTTTGGAAAGTTTCCAAAAAAAATCTGAGAGGTTGTATAGCAGGTTTTACAAACGCTAACTTCACTAATAAACTTATTGGAAGCTTGAGAAGTTTTTCAGTGATGAAATCGCACTTTCGAGGTACATTTAAAAGGTGGGGGTTTAAGTAATTCGCTAAAGAAACATTAAGGTAAAGTGCGAAATCATAATTGGTGTCAATCTCTACCAGCGTATTGTGAGAGTTTTCGGGCTGTTCGGTTCCATATTTGAAACAAAGTATGGGTCAGTAGTGGCCTGAATTACCCTTTGAAGTTCTTACCATAGTTCTTTAGTGATTAAGAGAGATCGGTAATTTGCTCTATACTGTGAATCTAAGTTGAAGCCAGCTCTACAGAATGGCCTAGAACTCGACAAAAGACTTCGTTGAAACAGGCGTATTAACGATCAGAAAGCGTATTTGCTCTTAGGACACACTCTATTCAGTTACTAACAACAAGTCTTATAGCAATTGATGTTTCAATCATTTCACTTATTTGTGAAAGAATCGAAATATAATGTTATAATCAGTAACATGACGTTGTGAAGAGTTCCGAAGTAATATTATTAGAATTTCGGCTTCAGAAGCCATTCAACTTACAGGTTGAGACGATTTCTCTTATCGCAGAAACATGTTTTCAGAATACTGTCACAGCAACAGACCAAATCGTATCTGCGCGTCTTTCCCATCAACTAGAAAAAATACGACGCTTTTGTGCGCAGATACAATTTAGTCTTAGTCTTCAATTGTTAGTCAGCTTTGATCCCATAAGACTCTTGAGTAGGGCAAATTTTAAGCAATAATATTTTCCTTATTCTTACTATGAAATTTCCGAAGACCTTGGCTTCATGCATGGACTGCATCTGGTTAGTGGAAGTAATAGTGTTTTTATTTGCTTAAGGAAATGTCGTGTGAATAAGCAAGACTCTTTTTCAAGGAACTAAGACTGCTTCGAAACCATTCGGTCCCGAATACGAACTTCTTCCAGAAAACGCAGGTGCAAATTTTTCCTTTGGTGGGAGAATCAGAAGAAAAAAGTTAGTTTTCCCATGGCTCTTAATCATTTTGCACCGCTGATTGATCATCTGTCGAACTTCTGCAAAGGCCATTTCAAGGACATTCCAATTATTTTGATTCAAGAAATTTCGATTCTCCTGGATTGGGAAGTCTTACTGCGAACCTCACAAGGTGTACTTAAACGTTTATTGTTTACTTTAGCCAAGAAAATTCAGTCAGAATGAACCCGAGCAAGAGTTGAATTTTAGCAGCTAAGAGACAGTTAAATTTGATTAACCTAGATTCTTACAAGGGAAGGACCATTGGTCGAAGTGGGCTTTCCACATGTGATGCATATCATTTTATTGGTCCTGCACCACTAACACCAAACCAGTGTTCCTTAGCAGCTCAATGATTTTTTTTTTGGGAAAAAATTTTCTCATTTTCTCAAATTGACCATCGCTTACTATGTTAGCGCCACCAAATAAGGTACATACAAATGGACAAAGTTTAGAGGATAGTTGCGGTGACTATAGAACAGGTGGTCAAAAGCTCAGATTTTATGCCCACCCACAATTTTTCCTTTTTTGCAAATTTTCCGGTGTATATCCCTAGAGGCTTCGAAAGGCGGATGGTGAGTCTGAAAAAATGATCGCTCATGATTATCCTCAAAAGATCATTGAGCAGTTCAGGAACACGGATTTGATGTTAGTGGTCCAAGACCAATAGAATGATATGCATCACATGTGAAAAGCCCACTTCGACCAAGGTCCTTCCCTTGTTAGATGAAACTTTTCAGACCTGAAATATGAACAAGTGGGTTGCTGAAAATTTTGCAGATGTGCAGATGCATAAAAAATGAGGAACATATTTTGCGATGGACCAGCAAATTTATTTCAATTTATCTGCTACCAAAGTCCAATGGAATCGTCATCGTAGGAATGCTATTTTTTCATGCATGTTGAAGACACAAAGGTATTACGGAATGAAAACAGCTTGAGTGTAATACTGGCGTTGTTGTAAATTACGCTCGCACACGAAAAAATGATAGCAGCGCATTAGCGTGTGAATGCAGAATGGAGGTCGGTGATTTTTCAGTTTCTTCTTCATCGTTTCTATTCCGTCAGTCTACTATGGCAGCTGCTCATTCATAAAGGCTTCCTACGAATTTTGAACAATGGATAGGGAAATTGGAAGCCGTTTCTTTGGTCCAAGAAGTTATATTTTGTTCTCATCAGTTTAAGAACCTACATAGCAAGTGATAAGGAATTATGAAGAAGAATTACGTGAAGAAAAGCAAGTGTCCATAAGTATCTGCTAATAAAGAAATTCACTTCAAAAGTTGACATTTGATTTAGCAGATACTCAGATGGAGTGAGAAATAGCGGAAATGGCTGAAATTTAACTCATTGACAAAAGCTTTATTCTTTACCCTTGTGGTTTTCTCTACATATAAATGCTATGGCTACGCTAAACACAGTCGTTCTTATCACCACAGTCGTTTTGTGTAAATGCACCATTTGCAATTTCAGAGTCGGTAGCAATAGCACTATGCTAGTTGAGAAGGAGAGTATAAAGAAGACAAATTCACACGAAGACGATGGCAAACAGAAAATAATAAACAATAAAAAAAGGTTCGTCTCCTCCTTTGTCTGCAATTGTTAGTATTATAGAATTTCATAAATATGTGATCTTAAACTATGCGACTTTGAGATGGAACTTCGGTAGCAACTTTGTAGCTCACGTAGTTATTTAACTAATGCGCTCTCAAACTACAAGTACATATATGAACTATTAAAAATCGAGTCTGCATATTTCAACAAAAAAAAATGAAAACACGGCAAATGCTTCATCTATTCTGAGACTAGGGTGCTCGAGAACATCTGTGCGCTATTAAGTTAAAACTTCCGCACCACTCAAATTCTGGATGACTCACCGCTTCAAATGAAAGAAATACGAGCTTAAGAGTAAACGTCTGCAAGCCGCTGTTCAGCGTTATTCACTTTTTCTCAGGAACGCCTAACTCCCCTTACTTTGGCAAAGAAGATTTTAGTTAGAGAAGGAAATTGGGCTATGTTCTATGAGAATGTCAATCTATGATAGTGATATCTATGGCTACGCAAAAAAATTCTGAGAATTTTGCTTCCTTACTCGACAAGGAAATTGCTGCAAGATGAAGAGGAACCCGAAAAAAGGCACATATCTTTAGCTGACATGTTGCTGACAACTCAGACAATTGGAAACCCTCAGCGGGCAGCGATAGCAAGCACTTTCAGTGGGCGGGCGGCGATAACTCGGGAAAAGTAGCGAGCGGGCAGCGACAGGCTATCAGCGGGCTGCCATAATCTTCCGTGAGTCAGAAAATAACTACAGAGCGCGTTATTGCTGCAAAAGCACCCAGAATGCGACGACAAGGCAGCGATAACAGCTAGTTGGCAACGACCAGGAAGCGATGGGGTTGCGAAAGCAAGGTTTCTGTGAGCGGGTCGTGAAGATGCTATGAGCGGGCACCGATAACATGTATCTGGCTGATATCGATTGATTAGTGCAGTGCTCATCTGTGCACATGTAGATACGTGTCTTTTGCAAGAAAGAGCACGGCGTCATTAGTCATTGATTCTTCCTGTGCGTCCGTCAGTATCCGAGCTTATCGTCTTAATCTCATCCTTATATGTATCTCATTCCCACAGATTTTCTCTCTCTATTGCATTCAGTAATCTCACTTAGCAAATATGGCACCACTATTCTCTTTTGATGAGATCGTGGTGTGTAGTTTGGACAAAATTTCTTTTGTTAGCTTTTCCTCTGCATATGTCCTCTCCACGACAGTGGCTACCGTATCTTCTCCAATTTGAATTGTTTGAACTTTGAAGACATTGGAGGGTGAAGCTTAGTTCATATTTTTGTAAGTTACCATAACTTTCGTTTGCTTTTCTGAAATCGCGTTAAGTATGCCCGGCCCTTAAGATACGGAACCGCGATAGCACCATCAGCTGTACAATTACTCATTGAAAAGATGGTCATGCGTCCTTGCTCTCGCTTCATAATTATCACTTTTGGTAGAATCCCAACATTATTTTGATGTGTGGACGATAGTAAATGAAGCAAAATGACTTGATTGCTATATCAATACAGATTCCCTACCGTGAAAACTTGAACGCAAAAGGGGTCGTAACGGCTTCTTTGGGCGCTTTTGGGCTTCTGGGCTTTCGTGTTATATAGCTCGTACCGACTATTTGAGCCGACCAAACACGGTAAGGTAAAAGCAGTTACGCGAGACTGTTGCAATTGTCGAATAGAGTGTAGACCTTCCTCTTTCTCTCTGTCTCTGTCTCTCTGTCTCTCTTACTCACTCTTTCTTTCTTCTCTACTCCTCATCATCGCAGTATATAGAAAAATATACCATTGCGGCAGACTCCGCTTTGATTTCCCGCAAGCGTGACGCCAAAAGACGTTAATTCTGCGCGGGACCTCAAGTTGAATAAGATACTCGCTTAGTCGGCGCCTACCATAATGACTTGTCTTATCAATTCAACTAATTGCTTTCACATGCTCGTCGACCTTTACTTTGTACTCAGTAGCCTTTGATGTCATCATCCACATGAACGATATCATTTCAGAAGCGATCGACACTTTCCTTCCCAATCGCTAATTTCAAACTGGTGTCGAAATTTTGCAAGTAACTTCTGGGCATGTTTCTATGGCGCTCAAAAGACGCCCCCGATACGAAGACACCGGAGCAAGAAAATGTAGAAGTAAGATCGATGCTTATAAGTATTTGCAGCTTATCACCAATCATGTTTAGAAATGTTACATGCCAAGGTGGAACACGAATATGCGAAGCTACGGACCATCTCACGCTTACGCGACAGTGCAGACAGGGAAAAATTTAGTTTGGATAAACGAGGAGACGTGATGGGAGTAGAAGCACCTCAAAATCAAGAAAAGTTTCATGAAGGATCACCAGCTGCAGGTAAGTTCTAATTCACAGTTTATTCTCAACGCTTTTGCACTCATTTTGCCTAACTCACCCTAAATTTTCATATTCTTCTTCAATCTAATATTTCTCTGATTAACAAGTTTCGATTGCTCCAATCGAGCGCATCGCATCGTGAGAGTGCACCACCCTTCAAGGTCTTTAGCCACTATTCTCAGTCAACGAGGAAAAATTATTGGTTTCAGGAGTTCAATATGGTTGAAGTCATGGAAAAGTGGCAGAGACCAAAACGCGCGCACAAGCATGATCATTTCCTTTTGGTGCTTGACTTTTTGCGCCACTTCTTTCTAAATGTAAGCGACAGATAGATGAAGATGATAAGGTCGTCTTGTAATCACCGTTTAGGCCTGCGAACCACCTACGGAAATTCAACAGTGCATGTAGACAGAGCGGGAAGAAGGAGAAATTTGACCATCTTAAGGACCTCCCGGAAGGATTAGTCGATTTCTTAATAAGTGGGTCAATGTGTGTTTGAGTACATTACTTTCAATAACTGATTTAGGTTTCATCCTTGACGCCCTTGGCCTACACCGCGACCAACTTCTGCGGACGCCAGGTGAGCATAAACGGAATCCAAATAAGTATGTATGTTCTCGAAAGACCTTCATGTGCACTGGAATTTAGGTGGTGGTTGGACTTAGCCGAAAATGACGACGCTTGCGAAAAATTATTCGACGTCCTCTCAGAGGAAAGAGTAGTATGGAGCGGTAAGGCGAGGATAGCAAATGGGAGAGCTTTGTGAGTTTTCTCATAAGGAAAGCGATACTTCTGAACTATATTTTTGCAGGGAAGACATCGGGAGGTATCATTTTGACCCTGATAGGTCCATGCTCCTTCCATCAAAGGTAATTCGTTTGTTTTATACGATCCTGGTAACAATAATTTTTTATTTTCAGAAAAAGCGCGTCATGGTCGAAGGCAGCAGTGTTACCAAAGAAGGCGTAACGATCCAGAAGACTGAAAACGTTGAAGATGAAGATGAAGTAGTCGTAAAAAATTAATGCTGTTGTCATTCTTAACCGTAGTTCTTTCGTAACCTTGTGTCGTGATTGCGGTGCTTTGATTCCTGTCTCATTTCGATGTTATTGTAAACGCTACTCGAGAAGATTATGTGGTATTTGCTAATAAATTTTATGACGTAAGACTGGGTTTATCAGCAGAAAAAAAACAAGCGTGGGAAACGGGACCCAACGTGACCAAGGACTCAAGGTAAGTCAAAAGGAAGGCGTGAGAGAGGGCTTAGAGGACGCAAAAAGCTGTCAGTAAGGGCGTAGGCCGCGTGCTCTGAACGCGATCGCGACATTTTGGTGTCTCGCGCAGGTCTCCCCATTTTGCCCCGATTTTGCCGCGCACTTTTGCCGCGACACAAAATCAGGTGTCCTGTTTTTGCCGCGACACCGATTTCGCGAGTCGCCCACGCATTCAATGGCTACACATCGTTTTGCCCTGCGCGAGTCAACCGCGAGTGTCTGAGTAAACTGGACCCCGGGATCGTATTCGCGTGGATTTATGGCACGACTCATCAGTTTCGCGTGACGACCCACGCGCGTCGGCCATGAATCCATGCGAATACGATCCCGGGGTCCAGTTTGGAGGCGAATATCTCAGATGTGAGCTCACCATTTGAGCTGCCGCTTGGGCAGTGTCTTAGTTAGAGCCCCAAAATTACTTTCCACATCAGAACCCCGTATGTTCAGATTTGCCTGGACGCTGCCTTTAACATAGTGCTGAAACGGTGGTGACAGCACATGTCTGGGTACTTGTAAGAAGAAGGTACTCGCACATAAAAGATGGTTTACAAGTTTTTATTTTGTGCCCCCTCCCATCTTTCGCACGCAGTTGTTGTCAACATCAGAGCTAATTCTACAAAATCTACTTATCATGTACAGGATGTCCACAACGTCGACGAGGTCGGCGTATGCCATAGCACGGCATCACACAAAAACCGTTCCTCCACTTCTGCGGCGCCACTACTGTGCGGCTATCTCAGTTGCCCAAGTGAAGAAACCGGTTATGCCAACGTTCGTCACGGAGAAGCTGAAGGATATGCAGGTGGGAATCATTTTTCGTAATCCCCATAGTGTTACCTACACCTGATTTTACACAGCTTTGGGCATCATCTGAAGGACCCAGTGAATTTTGGTTTTTATCCTGGCTCCAACATTCTGAACTGGCAGTTTGCTTGCAAGTATTGAATAGTGGTTCGTCCATCTTTATCTTGTTCGCTTTGAGATATCGTTAGGTGTACGAGTATCAAGACGCTCTAAATGATCTTTTGAGTTGATTTCTTTCCTCTGTATCTGTTCCTCGTTGAGTTATTGTTATGTGCCTTATTGCATTATACTAATTCGGGCAATTGATTAATAAAAGATGATGCCTAGCTTGTTTATAGTGCAAGTACAGAAGGAGTAGTGGATCCCGAAAGTGCGGTAAGCGGCAGTGAGCGGGCTAATATAAGCGGCAGTGGGCGGGCTACTTTGAATGGCATTGAGCGGGCTACTATAAGCGGCAGTGGGCGGGATCCTTTATATGGCATTGAGCGGGCTGCTTTAACTGGCAGTCAGCGGGCCGCTATGAAGTGGCAGTGATGTGGAAGCCACATGGCATTCAGCGGGTATCCACAGTGGCAGCGATAAGGCGCGGGGGCTTTTGGTGGGGATTGGTGGCGGCTTTGTGGCTGCCCGCTGAGGGTTTCCAATTGTCTGAGAATGTGAAGATGTGCGTGACGAAGTGCTACGAACGATGCGATGCGGCGCTGAGCGACCACCACCGACGGTGGGAGTGGCTGTGAAACAGCAGGGAGAGCATGTGTATCGGCGAGAAAAGTTGGAATTCGCACGCTCGCCGTCTCCCATTTGTTTTTTGTTTGCGTGGGAACGCGGCTCGTTCATTGTCGTCAGAAACGAGCGTGGGAACCGGTCAGACGCGGCGACGACGGCTGCAGCAGAGCGTGCGCTGCCGTCAACGGCGGCGCCGCTGAGCGACGAGCAACGGGGTCGTCCCCGTCGTCGTCGGTGCCGATTGCTGTGATAATATGCCACCCGCAGTACCCATATCTCCACGGGGGATAATGGAAGATGTTTCTGACATTACATCTCGCACTTGAACACAACATTTGCTCTTTGCAAAAGCAAAATGGATTTTTCAAGGCTTAGGTGATTCATGAATTTTCCTCCTTCACTATATCCATCGCAAGAAAAGCTGAAAAAGCAAATACATCATTGACAAGATTACAATTTTTCTCCGTTACTAAGTGGTAGACTGTACTTTTCAATTTACTGTTTTTTTCTGTTTATTTAGAACGATGGACAAAGCGTTCATACCCCGATACCTGCGCATAACGGTTGCCAGGGTTCTCATACCCTGACACCTGCGCAAAATAGAATCTGTAATCCCCTGATGTAAGCGTCACCTTGATGCCAACCCTTGCCTTTGATTCGCTGGGACTGAATATGGATGAACCCTTAGTGAGACTAATTCCCTGTTCTATTTTCATCCTTCAAAATGAGGAAGGAGAGCTTCCTTTTGCATGAGGTACCTCTCATGAATAAATTAATAGTTCTGCAGGTGCGTCCAACGATTTGAAAACTCTGAATAAAACTTTGTGGGTCAAAAATTAAGCATAAGGTTTCAACTTCACTGCATTTGGCCCATGATTCACTTTCTCCGCAGAGAAGTTGGGAATCTGTTGATGAGCATGATTTCGAATACTGGATAGTCGTTTAAATCATAACTCTCATTATCAGCAAATAATGAGAGTTTAGGATATAGAGAAAGAGGAAGGCGCAGTCGAAAGTTAAATTCAATAGTCATGAAGTTTTACGCTTTCTTTCCAGGTTAGAAAGAGATTAGTAAGCAAACTTTAAAATAAGGCTCCAGCTTTTCTTAGGTGAAGAAAAACGACAAAGCAAGTGTAGTCCGCTGATAAAAGTAGAGCACTGTTTTTGGAAAGACGCGATTGTAAGACTTTCAAGTTCTTTTTCTAGTAAAGGCTAGGTTCTGCAAACTTAATTCTCATAATTACTTTTTATTTCGTTGCGAACCCGTGAACCCCCAATCGGTGGCGCCTATCTGTCTATTATCAATTTTTTGCAAACCGGGAGAGATGCATTTTCAGTTGTGTAGTTCAGAAGTTTCACCCGTTTTCGTACCTCGCTTTGAGCTTCTGAATTTGGAGAAAAAATCAATTTTTTCAGGAGCACTTTTGCAAGCACTTTTCTTCTGATTGTTCATACACATACACATTCTCATTTTCAAAGAGCTTTGTTCATTTTGTGCTTTCATGCTTGAAAGGGCAGCAAAACGGTTGTGGAAATTTTTCTTTTTACTCAACTGCCGTGAATTTAACAGCTAGGAAGGTTCTTTCCAAAACATTTGCGATGTTCGGCGGAGATCTGCGTTACAAGATGCTCATTGAGATGTGATTTCGGAAATATTTTTCAACTATAAATTTTTAGTCTTTTTAGGTCGCATAAAAATTATAAGCACAATGCAATCACGGAACGGATGCACGCTCTACAAAATGATATTAGGCTTTAGCCTAGAACATTTATTATTAGAAAAACTGAAGATTTCTCTCAGTCAGCGGCGAACAAAATCAAATATAACAAAAGTGCATTTCCTACCACTTGAGAAGGGGAGAAATAAATGAGTCCCTAATTTTTGCAAAAAACATTTATGACAAATCCCGGAATTTCAAGATTAGTGTTTGGGGATTTGTGCTTAGAATATTTTTATCGTTGCTGCTACAATAATTTTTGAATACGCATAGATTCGCGAAAAGTTCGTAGATTGTAACTTTATTGCCGCAACGGCCTTTCTAAAAAGAGTCGTGCTAAATCAAACTTGGAGAGTTCGAAAACGGGTAGAACTCCTGAAACAACCCAGTAAGTGACCAATATTATCGTTTTCATATAATTTATTTTCCATATTTCACACATGCTGAACAGATAGTTTTTTCCTGAATGTAAGCGCTATGAGACGTAATGCCACCTCAGCGATAGAATGTGAGCGATGTGTGTTATTTTCCTAACATCAGCGTGGTGGGAAAACGTTGTTTGACATTTACATTCGGCTGTAAAACTCATAAAAACAATGACAGCTAAGGAAAGTTGTTCGCTTCCAGTTTTGAGGGATTCCCTATTTGAGGGCAAGTGAACAAACATCAAATCGGTTAAGATTTCTGGTAATTTTGAGCTGACTAAATCGCTCATTACTACAAAAGTCATTTTTCGATGCACTGAAGGAATTTCAAGCTAAAGCTCTTTCCGCAAGCTTCAGTTCAAAATCGAGTGAATTACTTTTTTATATTCAGGATCATATTCGATTCACTCCGAATTGTTGAATGTAATCGATTACTGTCAGTAAAGGCATTACCCGAATAGCTGAAGCTCAGAATCTCAAACCAGGTATCACGGTAAACAGATTTGGTAACCAGAGTCAGCTACTCGATAGCCCAGAAATTTGAATTGTTTGGACCTTTTTTCCAAGGAAAATTGACGATGAATAATTATAAGGTCCTCATACACGAAGAACCTTCTGCATGCTATCGTAATCCTATAGTAACGAAAAGCATTCGACTAATATCAGGTTGTCTCATAAGTCTTTCCATATTTGAAATTTCGTCGCCATTAGTCAGTCTTCTTGTACTTCTGATATTAGGTCGTTCCATAAGTTCGTAGCGTTTTCATTTTCATATCTTTGAGGAGCGGTTGATTTGCGGCGTGCGTATATCATTTGGAAGGGCTGAGTGTTCTCTCCGAAATATGTCTGCTGATTCCAGTGGAGAGCTGATTCATCTCGTAGCTTCCAAAGATGGAAATTGAAAGGCAAAAAGGAGAAATTTCGACATTTGCGTATTTTTCCTTGTAAAAAGAAGCGCTTTTCATAGGTTTTTCTGTCAGTTATGGAGCATGGCGCTCTTACATCATTATGAGACAAGAAAGGATTGGATGGCTACAAAAGATCAGAGGTTGAGCAAGGTGTCCTGAACAAGATTCTCCGGGGGACGCGCAGGATGTCCTGCAGAAAATTGCCGTACGAGTAGGCGATGGTCAACCATGCTGTAAGCAATTCAATTGCACTGTCCAAACGAGGTCCTACCGCAGAGAAAATTTAACAGACAGGTCCAGTGAGATTTTCTGCATGACAAAACGTGGCCCCATACGGCAAACGTCGTCAAAACTGTCCTGCGCGATTTGACTGGTACTTACTTACTTACTGAAGGTACTTTGGTACCCAACGTACTCTCCATATCTCGCTCTACCAGATTATCATTTGCTCCGCTCTCTAACAAACCTCATGAATGGTGCATGTCTCGATTTCAGCAGGTAGTTTGAGCGCTGGTTGGATGACTTTCTTGAAACCCGGCTCGCTGCCGTTTGAAAAAATTGAGTTTGAGAAGCTAACAAGAATGTGCCAAAAGGTCGTGTGCTGTAACGAGGAATATAATTTTGATTGATTTTTACTGTAGATTGATGATTTTGTTGCTTTATAAAAACGCTACGAACTTATGTAACGACCTAATAGGTTGCGGGCTGCCATCTACAGATCAAAGCAAGCTTTACAATATGTCCTTGAAGGGTTTTGCGTCAAGCTTGATCCTCGTTAAGTTTCAGTCAAAATAAAAAAATTCCCACTTTCCAAAAAAAAAATTCAATCGCATATCAGTTCAAAACAACTCTGCGGACTTCCCACTCGCTCACGCATATATTCTTCCAATCAGATATCTACCCATACTTTTGCTGCAATTTTCTGATAGCCATAAATCAAAAAACAAATAATGAGCTAAATTCTCACACCGCCAGTAGCGGTTCTGTGTTCCTCGCAAATGCGTGATTATGTATAGCTTATTCATTCAGAAATCCTGCCACAAATTTGCAGCCCTTGTATGTGCTCTAGTTTTTGGAAAATATCAATTCATAGGTTCAAATAGGAAAAAAAACTTATGGGACAACCCAATAGTTCCATACGGAAGAACTATGTTTAATTCGTTATATGATACTCATAGCTCTGCCAAAGACTTTATGGCAAAAAAGTCAGCAAATCACATTTCTTGGTGACACTCTGTATGCAAGGATATTTTATATCTTCGACGGGATAATCCGCAGCATCATTGCTGTAAGGCAACCAACGCTGCAAGCCTTCCTGGTGCTCCAGTGACTCCTCCTCCTGTAAAAGTCACATAAATAAAAAGTTCTCTTGTCTGGTGGACAAAAATCCTACCTGGATGTGCACCGCTGCACTACTGCATGGATCACAAGGGAAGGCGACAAGAATGTATATATTAAATAGCCTAAGCCTCGTAATCTACGTTAAAGTGATTTGAGCCTGATTGGTCTTCTCTAGCCTGAGATATTGAAAACGAAAAATGGAAGCAACGAGATTTTGGTTTGCTCTTAGTTCCTTAATTTGGAGGTCTTCTGAAGTAGTAGGATTCCTAATGTGAGCAAAGAAATAATAGTTCTTTGTATTAAGCGCAAAAAGAAGTAGTTGACTTACCTTTGAAACAAAGTAACATGTTTGAAAACGACCATCTCACCTAGGTGGTCCGTATTTGGAAACCTCAGAACTCGCTGAAACTTGGACCACAGGAGTTACTTCATTTGCTAATTGCAAAACAATGCTCTTGTGATTTATAGATCTCTAATTATGCTTACTGTACGTATACGATAGTGGGTCAAACATCAATCTAGTATTTTGATGAATGGCCTATTTGACATTTTAGCGATAACATTGTTATCATGCTATCGCTAACATCAGCTCACCTCGATAACGCGACCCCCCCCCCCCCTCCCCTGATTCCTCAACACGACCCCCTAGGTGTGGCATGCCGCACCCCACATTTGACCCTGCTGACAACTCGTGTAGGGGGGGGGGGAGCACGCGAAAGGCGACAATGCGCGCAGAAAGCAAGCAGTATAAAATTGCTCTTGCTAACCTTTACAGGAATTTACTTGTGGCATCGAGTAACGTATCTGCCCCCCCCCCCCCTACCTTGACGCCGTGTCACTTTAGCACCAGAGAGTGTTAACAGGCACCAAATCTGGGGATTGTCGCCTTCCGCACCACACTCCTCGTGTACAAGCACGGTGTTCATGCACGCTAACTCCACTAGTACTTCGCTTGAAGCTGGAAAGATTTTCAATGGTGCGTTAAATTTTTTTATGAATATCGAGAAAAAAAACAGCTACACTGTGTCCGGAAAAATCTCAAACAAGGTGGTACGGTAAACAAACTTCATAATCGTAGTAAGCTACCCTGGGTAGCCTAGTGTAAGGATTTGAAATGTGTGGATCTTTTCTGATAAAACTGATGGTAAAAATGATAGGGCGCTCAAGCAGGAAAAATAGAGTAACGAAGAAAGACTGAATATAAGTTGCATACTGCAAAACTGAGTCGACATAGATGACAAAAATATGAATCTATTCTAAATGAATTTGCTCTACATAAACGCTCTCATCCCAATTTTATTCATTACTTATGATTAACATAGGTCTGCCAAAAACCTTATGCAAGAAAAACAGCATTAATTACATTTTTTTGAGGCAATGCATGTAAAGAATATCATTGACGGTGTGGTAGTTCGCAGTTTCATTGCTGTAAGGCAACCAGTGCTGCAAGCCTTCCTGGAGCTCCAGTGACTCCTCCTCCTGTAAATGTCACATAAATAAAAAGTTTTCTTGTCTGGTGGACAAAAATCCTACCTGGATGTGCACCGCTTCCGCACAAGTATAAGCCTTTTATGGGTGTAGTGTAATTGCTATACCGGGATACTGGTCTAGTGAAATACAATTGATCCAGGGACATTGATCCGTGAAATATGTTCTGCAAAGTGTAAAAATAATTTTTGAAGAAGAAGATTTCAGAAAATGGCAAGTTGCTTACTCCTCCAGTAATTCCAAATATTTTTTCGATATCAGGAGGTGGAAGTACTTCGTATCCGATAATTGAAGACGAGAAATTGGGAGCGTACGCGTCTATCTCACTGAAGACTGAAAGCTACTTCAGGTTGATTTCTGAAGCAATAGCAGCATCCAATAATGAGAGTGGTATTGTTGATTTTGAAAATTATACCGAGCTTGATTAGAGCATAGATGTAAGATAGTTTTATTTCCGTTGTATTATATGAGACAAAAAACTTCCTCCAGTGTTCAAGTCAGGACTGTAGATTTGAGTAGATTTGAGTAGCTAAATTTCCGATCGAGGAAGAGTGTATAGGAATTGGAAACTTCACCTCAATAATTTACTACTAGTTATAAATTTACTGTGAATATAAATTTACTTTGGAGTCACAAAAATCCTGTGCTTCAAGCAGTTTATAGTCGCTTGAAAACCTAGCTATCCATAACAAAAAAAAAAAGAACTGCGAAGCTTACACCGACGAGGCAATCTTTAGCATTTGGCTTAGTTGGTGATCACCAGCTCGAAACTTTACAGCTGAGACAGTGCTTCAAATTTATCACAAAAAACAATCTATAACATGGTCTTTATGAAATTGAAACTATCTTAGCATTTTCACCTTGGATTTCCTTAGATATAGTAAATCAAGAGCAAAATATTTTTTTTATTATGAGCGTGATCTCGGAAATGGTTGAAGACGGCTGGTACTCCTTACGTCAGAGGTATACATAAATTCTTTAAGAATTTCAACATACGTACCGCTAATGTCGGAATAAGTTGTTATTATGTTAACTAAGATGCGTGTTCTATTGTTGCTAAAATCTCAGTCCTATGAGTATTTTATGAGCATTTACAGGTTTGAAGAAAATTACGTGACCAAGAAACTGAGTTCTAAAATGGGCTTTTTGCGCAGAACGCTACAAATCAGTCTGCGACGCTATAGGGATAGATACGGTGAATATCGTATTCTTGACTTGTCGGCAATTTGCGCGTAACATAAACTTTTTCGCTCTACGGGCATTTTCTGCGCTCAAGTCACAAACAGCTTGTCGATTTCGCAAGCTTGGCTTTATTTCCGCGCAAATGTTGTTGGTTGACTAAATTTACTGTCAAATCTGCTAACCTATACGTATATATATTTGCTATTTTAGCATCATGTCATTGTTGATAAAGTGCATCAAATCTACCGTGTTTTGCATACTGTTCTTTCCGCTCATTGCTCCATGGACCATCCTTCAATGTGTAAGGTGTATATTGCGTGAATAGAGACATCACATGAGAGCGATCGTCAGGCACTAATGACCTATCGACTACAGATGGAATGGTCATTTCTATGACTGGCCTAGAAAGTGATGATAAATTTCTACAGATTTAGGGGGTACCTTACCTCCTGCTCCATCGCCCATTTCGGTAGTCTTGTACTGCTTCATCAACAATTTGCATACTTTCACAGTTGAGATGTACCGTTGTTTGATGGTGGGGCATAGGAGCAGTACCCACATTTGGTAAGCAGGTGAACGATGGCAATTCGCGCACGGCAACTAAAGTTCGGGAGAATCATGCGGAAGCAGTGAAAATAATCTTCTGTGTCTTTACCATTGATTTTTGTAACTGGTGAGGTGTAGTCAATGGAGCTCACCGCGCGGCGAAATTCCACAGGCAACTCTTTCTAAACATGAAATAGGCAACGTTCTTCCAGCTACATGAACAAGCCCATCCAATTCCAAGAAAACGGAACTAACCTCTGCCACCAAATGTTCGAATGTGACTTTTGGAGTTGCGTTTGAAAGAACAACTTTTGCGTAAATTTCTTTTCCATTTACTAGGCGAACTCCTCGTGCTGCGCCATCGTCGATGAGTATCTCGGACACTTCCTGAAAAGCTTTTGCACTTTTGTAAAACTTTTAATGGATTCTGTGTCGTAGTAGAGCGAGGAGCACAGAAATTGACTTCATTTTGACTATAACCTTATGCAGATGGCTCAACATGGGTTGAAGAGCAGGGAGACGCTGCGTCAGACTTCATAAACAACAGATCTTTACATGGCGCTTTGATGATGTGAAAAGACTCTACACATTGTGCCCCATTTTGAGATGCCTACCGTTTTCTCTCTCCCTCCCTCCCCCCTCCCTCTCTAAAAAAACTGAAAAAAAAACTTGATATAATTCACGAACTAGGTTGCGCAAAAATGTTAGTAATTTTCTGAAGCATTCTTCAATATCATAATAGCTAACACCACCCCAATCAAAATTTTGGTAACTCAGATCTTGCAATCATTAAGAAAGAAAAATTTTACAGTGGAAATCTAATTCTGTGGCGCAGTAATTCGAAAACAGTCATCCAAGTGTTCAATTAGAAAAATGAAGGAAACCAATCGCTTGGGTAACTCCAATTCAGTTGAAAACACACCTGTTCCACAAATATCTCAGCTCCATGACTTTGTGCAGATTTTGCTATGGCTGATGATACCTAATAATTAGAAAATGACTCTAACGAATTTGTGTATAGGGCAAATGCCACGAGATCACTCACCGCTCCCATGCCGCCCATAACGTAAGCCCAAGCTCCGCTGTGGCCATCTACTCCACCGATAACATGGTGAAGCAGAACATAGCTGAAAATTTCTTTTATTCTTTCTTCAAAGTTGAAAGTTTTCAAGTGAGGATAGAAAAGCGCGAATCTGTTACTTTGCATGATTTTATTCTGCGGTCTTTTGCATTGGTAAATAAAAATAGCAAACCAGGCTGAAGTGGAAAAGTGACGTAGAACCCTATTCTTGAAGTCTAACATTTCGATTTGCTTGGGTCCACATCCCATTATCTTACTAGGGAGTGAGCTGTTTTTCCTACGCATTGTAGTTCAATGCTTGATAGACAACATTGGCACGCTCACAAAAGCATGAGAAGATTTCAACATTTGTTCTTTGATAACTGCCGAGGTCTGGACAACCAAATCCACTGCGGGCTTATTTATCAAATGCGCAAAATGCTTATAACTCCCTTGTAAAAGGACAATACAAGGGAAGGTTACGAAGTCGAAGTGGCCAAACTCCACAAACTGCATGCCATAAGTGAAAGCTTGGAACGATTTGCAGAGCGCCTTTGGGAAGGAAGTTATAAGCATTTTTGCGGCGAGAAAATGAACTAATAACCGAGATAATATTAAACATTACAGCCTCTCTAGATCTTAAATAATGTAGCGGCAACTGTCAAGGTACTTCATACAATAAACTCCTTCTGTCTAGTAAATCAGTCCATCCTATTTCGCCATTTGACGTCTAGAAGGCTGTAACGATTGATTATAGCCTTGCCGTTACCTCATTTTCTCATAACAAAAATACTCATATCTTATTTCTATAGGGGCTCTGCAGATATGGAAAGCAAATTTGGAATCAGCGCCCAAGCTCTCACTGCCGGTATACATCTTGGTGACAGGCCTCTTCGACTTCGTGACCGTCCCTTGTCATTAAAATCATGCTCCACACTAACAATGCGTATTATTTAGTCTGCTTTTTTCTTTTCAAATACATGCATCCTTGAATCTATCTTACCAAACGTAGACCTAACAAGTGCGTAAGAATATTATCTGCGCGTAAACTTATGAGTTTGGAATCGCATCCTAAAATTATCAACAACAACTCATTATAGCCCCGGGACCCTAGAGTTATTAAAGTAATGATGGATATACAGGGTGTCCCAAAAAAATGTTAACACTGTTTGATCCTTAATAACTCCCTTGCTTTCACGTCTTTCGCAGAGCTTTAAGTACCAATTTGTAGAGCGAGGATAAAGTTAGGATTATCCTCCCTTTTACCAGCTCGGAGCTAATCATCTAACTCTCCTCTTTACTGTAGAATTACGGTAGGAAGTTTGACAAGGATTTTAGGTTATTGAAGGCCATTTTCTGCTTCGAAACAGAGCCAAACAAGCCAAAATCTCTTGTACTATGGTAATGAAAGCCGCTAATTTCGGATATAAAATTTCCATTTTAGTATGATATTTCTTTTCAAAGTCATCCTAGGTAAAGTGTAGTAACTGACTTCCCAGCATGTGTCAAAAATGTGATTACACCGTCAAAAAAGCTGAAAACACTCGTAAAAAGTTGTGTAGTAAAATCAGCGTGTGCGAAAACCCTAGTACACGATTTTTCAGATTTTTTGAAAAAAATTTTGTTAGAGGACAACTTCACAACGGTTCCACCATGCTGGAATTTCTTACCGTAATCCTACAGTAACGAAGAGCGAACGGTGATTCGCTCCATACTGTAAAACTAAGTTGAATCTCGCTCTACAGAATGGTGCCTCAAGCTCGCAGAAAGACATGAAATCAAGGGAGTTATTAACGATCGAACAGTGTTAACATTTTTTTGAGACACCCTGTATATGAAGCAACTCTTACCCTGTTCCCACGTCGTATGGGCTGGCTGCAAATCCGATAACTCCATCCGTGCCCAAAGTTGCCTTCAGAATATCGCTCTCGAACCATCTGTCCATAATCTACAGAAAATCTGTAACGAATTCTGAGATTAAACTTTTCCAAATTACCTTAGCAATCGGCGCTGTCATCAACTCATAAAAATCGACCATATTTGAAGCTCCTATTTGTCTCGCTGGAAGGAAACCTTTTTTTTAAAGGGAATTCAGCCGTGTTGAAACAAACCTCGCTGGAGCATTTTCCATGTTTTTTTGATCAACTCGAGTTTGGAGAATTGTTGAGCATTCAAAGGCACTTCGTCCATCAGCGGTCCCAAGGGTTTTACCAGTTTTCCAATAAATTCTTCATACTTGGGAAACATCTGAATAAAATTTTGGTGCAAATACTAACAGCGTAATGAAAATTACGGTGTTGGTACTTGTTCAAATTGGTTTCACCTCAGCATCTCTTTTTGAGAATTTTCTAATTTCCCTGCGATTTTCCTGTATATCAAGTCCAAGCAATAAGCTCCTTTTGGAATCTCGAATCGGTGTAAATGAGGAGGGGTTCCTAATATGATACCGCAACCCATGCTCCTAGAATGACCTAGATCATTTATTAATATCATTGACAAGTCAACCTTTAGTTTCAAATCTTTGATAACAATCGGTCGAAGCAAGCTGAGGAGATAGGATGCGCGAGAAAATTTGTAACCTGAATGAGAAATTGTTATTACCGTAAGCTAGCTGTTTTTACTAACCTGGTAAAATCTCTTCAGTGACAGCAGCTCCACCAATCACATTTCTTCTTTCCAACACACAAACCCTTCTTCCAGCGCGGACCAGATAGGCTGCCTAGGTGTTAAAAATAGTTATTTTTTATTATGGCTAACTGAAAGCTTACAGCAGTAAGTCCATTGTGGCCTCCGCCTATAACGATGGCATCGTAAGTGTCCTTTGGTACCGCAGATGCTAATTGTCGACAAGATGTGCAGAAAGGCCCTCGCATATCACAGTGTGTAAGAAGGCCCTGAGAAGAAAGGTCTAATGATTTTGAGCAATCTTATGATCAAAGTCGTGTCTGAGCATGACCAAGATCCAAAGATGACTGAGACTGCCATGCTAATAAGGAATGCACTTACAAGGGGGGCGTATCGTTACGTGCGGGCTTCCTATTGGAAAACGTCGCGCGCGACAGGCTGTCAGTGACCACACTCGGGGAATTCAGCCAGCATGATCCGCAGCAGATAGTTTTTCAGTTTCTCATCCCTTGTTGAGGTTCACAGACTATTCCCATATTAGTTTTGCTTAATTATTTGAAGTTTTGCCACTAAAGTTGTCAAATGAGCTCTTTAGAAGACAAAAAAGACACAAACTGAAGAAGGTAAAAAGCTAACAGTATAGAAGAAGCATTGTTAATCTAGTGGTATAAATCTGACAAGTTTTCTGCACTGCTGCTTCACGCGCGCAGTTACTGTAGCGCCGCGTTGCGACGTTTTCCATTTGGCAGAACGCACGTAACGAGCGCCTCCCACTTACAAGGAGTCTAAAACCTGCACAGCTTTTGACCGCTAGTATATCTCTTGCTCCAGTCTCTTTCACCGACCTTAAGGGCACATTCTTGTAGAGCTGGTTACATCTTAGATTCGCAGTGTAGACTGAATCAGCGTTTGCTGTTCATTAGTGCAGGAATACGCTAGAAAAACCTTAGCGAGAGTTTCGAGCAGTTAAAGGAGTGTCCGGGAAAAAAGTCGATTTTGAGATTTTGTGCTTACCCGAACCTAATCTCTATAATATGCAGTGGAGAGCACAAAAATGGCGAAAAGGGGCTCAAACGCAGGAGGGGAATCAAAAGTGTGCGGGGTCTTCCCCACTGTGAATTCAGGTATAGCTTCCGGAGCGATCTTCTCATTCCGCTAGCCACCCTGACATCGCCACCGGCAAAGTGCGAACGCGTGACTTAAAATCGAAAGCGAGAAGATCGCTCCGGAAGCTGGGAGTAATTCACAGTGGAAAAGACCCTGTCCACGCTGCTGATATGTCTTCAGCGTAGCGACTAGGCCCAGGTAAGCACAAAATCTCAAAACCGACTTTTTGCCCAAACACTGCCTTCAAAAACAATGGCTCGAAGATTTTAACTCGCGCTTTCTGTTCCTCCTTGGCCTTCTAGATGCGTTTGACCCAGAGCTGTGCTTGAAAAGTCAAAAAAGTGGTTTTAATGCGTTTGCGTTTTTCGGCCTTGGAGATTGCTGAGGAGGCTGATGCGGAGATTCCTGCCAAAAAACAGTGAACGGCTACAGGAGACTGCAACATCATCTATTTGGCTGCGAATAGTTGATTGGTCTAGGCAGCCAGTCGCGACTCAGCTGCGCGGATCTACGCTCCAGCCTCCTCAGTAATCTCCAAGGCTCGAGAACGCCATAAAAAGCATTTTCTTGTTTCAAGCACAGCTCTGGTATAAACGTATCCAAAAAGCTAAGGAGGAACAGAAAGTGGCAATTTTCCAGAACCACTGCCTTTAAGGGCCATTTAGCCGTTCACAGCTCAAAACCGTGGAAGGGAATTCCTACCGTATTCCTATGGTAACAACAAACGATAGGTGATCCTCAATTATACGGGAAACAAAGCAAGAAAACTGTTACAGTAGGTGAAACAGAGTCGCTGACCAGAAACATGAGATTTGCACTTTGCCATCGTGTATAAGGTATATCAAGAATACCGTAACAATTTTTTCTTGAAATTATTCATTGGAGGCACCATCCTAAAGCTTAAAAGACTCTAAAAGTTGGATAGTAAAATCAGCGTGCATGAAAACCCTGCTGCAGAATTTTTTAGATTGATATTTGAATTGGCCCAAAATGACGCTGTGTGCTGGAAGTTTATACTGAAACCCTAGAGTTTTGAAGCGAATCGAGTGATTCGATCTATACTCTAGATCTAAGCTAGAGCTATCTCTACATAAAGGTGTTGAAGGGCGGGATTGGCGCAAGAGAAATATAGGATTCAATAGTGTGCACAATTTTTCGAAGTTGCATATGGAATAAGATGTTAGTAGATGAGATGTAGATATACAGATGCGGCATAAAAACACTGATTTACAGTTTTTGTCTTTGCGAAACGGGTTTTCAGCGTGGTTAAATTCCTTTTTGAGAAAATTTCGAACGCATTGCTACCACAGAATCACTTGGTCAATACTTTTTACAAAAAGAAAACCATGCAAACCTAGCGGCAAGAAAAAACAAAAAACTAGCACTAACTCAGTGCTAAGGTGTCAAACAATTTTCGAACAATCAAAGTTTGCTGGACACCTTCAAAGCTGCACTAGAAGCAGTTGTAAAATTTATGTACGCCCTATTATCAAAGAATAACAGGTGATGAGATCATTTTTACACTGTATGCGAAACCCTGTCCTCAAGTACATTACTAACACATGCGAATACAACAGACCGAAGACAAATGAGCAGAAATAAATCAGATGTGTCTGCACCGCTCCACTGGCAGAAAGGAAAAATTGAAATCAGGCTACAGTGCCGCCCCTAACTCGCGTAAAAAAACGCCAGGCGATGACTTTTTCCGTCCACATAAATTAACAAAAATTGTCGGAAGCGCATAGATTCCTTCGAAATAGGTTCTTTGCAAATTTAATAAGATTCCTGGAAAGTACACAAGTAGAAGATTCAGAAAGCAAAAAAAATTCTCAAAACAATTTCTCAAACTGCTTCCAGTGGGTTGGCGACTGATCGATCTCCGACGAAAACAACGGGCGCTCATAACTTTATCGTAAATGACTTTTTCGAACTTTAGTTTCATATACGGAACAGCAATGGAATAAGCAATAATGTAAAATTGTTTGAAAAAACTCTTCCGGAAGCATTTTGGAGTAGATGCGACGGAATGCCTGTGTGCAGAACTGTTGCAAAACAGTGACTTTGTCTAAATCAAAATTTATGAAATTTTTATTACACTATTAGCTTGACTACCAAACAATGATCAGTACTATCTTTGGAGATCTTTTTTAGTAGTATATCTTTGAAAATCGCTTGAGCTCAAAAATCTCTCAAGAGTCAATTCCACTCATTGGGGAATACCAGATGCTGTGCTTTCGCTTCACGTGTTTGCATCAAAACAATTAAGAAGTTGAACCCTATATAACAATTTCTCCCTAAATTTGTACTAAACGATGACAGATAAAAAGCTTTGTCGCATTATTTGACTTTTAAATTTCGAAAGAGTTTCAGCGCTTAGTAGGAAGAGCATGTTTTTTTTTCATGTACCACCTGTGTGTAATAGAGTAAGAAATAAAACTGAAGCGAAATATTCAGCGCACAGGAACACAGCATAACACAAGAATCTATGAAATCAGTAAGAAAATACATGTTATCGCTACTCAATAAGGCTTATCGTAACCCTGTAACTTCAGCGAATTATGGGACAAGCGCGATAAGATAGCAAAACACATGCTTTAGGCTAGATTTTTTTCTATAGATGTTGCTTTGTTCTTATATTCAGTCGTGTCAGCTTTTGTAGAAAACACGACAAAATTTTCTTGCTGTGCTTGGAACCTCAAACAAGTGTTTAGCTTATCAATTGTAGAACATCTACGTACATGTTTTCGATCATCAATATTGAATGAACAAAGCTCCGAAAAACTGTAATTGCTCTGCGCACTATTTACGTCATAATTGCGGACATGTGGACATCCTTAATATTTTGTGTCATGTAGATGAGGTCGGGTGAAGGGGTTAGGGGATGGAAACTGGGACCACCCATAAAAGTCGCAGAGAAATGCTCAGACGTAAAAACTCCATGTTAAAAGTTCTTCTCTTAGAGGTACTCAACGATAGATAGTTTGCAAAAAAATTAAACAGCGTTATCATTCTATTTACATACTCTAACAACATCCCGCACAGAATGGATGCCCAAAATTATGCTACAGATGAACAAATGCTTTGTTTGAACGAACGGTCAATGATATCACCAAACTTGGAACAGGAAGAAATTCGGACTGTGTCTAACAAATTAAAAGTTTCATGAATGGAGGCTGTATTTTTGTATTTCTTTTCTGACTAGCAGGCACGCTTTCTCCTCACATAAGTTTCTCACAAAAGTTCGTAAATGTTCCCCTCGCAGAAATACGCAAATTTGTTGTGACGTGTGTATTGTTGTAAACAGATCATTTGTTTATCCTTCGGGCAAAATTTTGAGTTCCATTACATGTGCATTGCAAAGTAGTAGCTCACATCATTGGTAGAAAACTCCTTTAAAACTTTGCCAAGTTTTTCGTTTTTGATTTTACACTTTGAGCCATTGTATTTCTCTCTGGGATACTAAGCGATTTTGCAAATATCTAATGTTCCTCCTTTTGCCTTCAAACGATAATCAGTTTACCCATGTACCACCTTTGCCGAACCGTGGCTCTTGTAGACCACCTTTCGTTCTAAAAGGCACTACTGCTGGACCAGATCATCTTAACACATTGACGACAACGTGATCCACATGGTGGGTCATGCACAGGGTCAAGCAAGAGGTGTGGCACACGATTGCTAGTTACGACCCCCCCCCTCTTATTGCTGCCTCAATAAGTCCCCCTGAATTATATACCTAAGATAGCATTACTTGAAGCCTGCCAAAAATAACGGGCAAGATATCCATAATTAGCTTGTCAATTAACTCCTGTAGACAATGGTTGAGCGAATTCTGAAGTATCAAGATACTGGGTCACCTAAGTGAAATCGCCATTTTCCAGCATGATTAACTTTGTTTCAAAGGTGAAGTAGCTAGCTGTTTTTGCACTCAGGACAAAGCAGTACTCCTTCTTTGGCCACTTTAGAAATCTCGCTTCAAAAGACCTCCTAATTTTGGAATTAAAAGCCAAACTCTTGTTTTTCCTATTTTTTTAGTGGCTGTGCTTTCACCAAATATTATTCAGAGCTAAGAAGACGAATCAGGCTCAAATCACTCCTATGAAATCTGCGAGGTCTAGGCAATCGATTTATATAAATAACGTTAGCTAAAAATGTTTTTTTGATATGGTTAATGGGGTGTGGCATCACTCCTAAAAAGCTGTGGCTGCCACAGCTTTTTAGGGGTGGTGCCACACCAAATTAACTTACTTTCAGACAGATCAAATAGCTGCGTTTTTTATACTGTTACTGCTTAATCTTCTTCTTTACATAACAAAACTTTCACATGAAAACGTTTCTTCGACAGCAAGATATAACCGTTTTTCTTTGAGTATGCAAATGTAAAATACTGGTAAAATACTGCGAAAATATTGGGGTACGGTAACATGCCAAGTCTGCACTACTGCATGGATCACAAGGGAAGGCGACAAGAATGTATATATTAAATAGCCTAAGCCTCGTAATCTACGTTAAAGTAATTTGAGCCTGATTGGTCTTCTCTAGCCCGAGATATTGAAAACGAAAAATGGAAGCAACGAGATTTTGATTTGCTCTTAGTTCCTTAATTTGGAGGTCATCTGAAGTAGGATTCCTAATGTGAGCAAAGAAATAGTAGTTTTTTGTATTAAGCGCAAAAAGAAGTAGTTGACTTACCTTTGAAACAAAGTAACTGTTTGAAAACGACCATCTCACCTAGGTGGTCCGTATTTGAAAACCTCAGAACTCGCTGAAACTTGGACCACAGGAGTTATTTCATTTGCTAATTGCAAAACAATGCTCTTGTGCTTTATAGATCTCTAATTATGCTTACTGTACGTATACGATAGTGGGTCAAACATCAATGTGCTAGTATTTTGATGAATGGCCTATTTGACATTGTTAGCGATAACATTGTTATCATGTTATCGCTAACATCAGCTCACCTCGATAACGCGACCCCCCCCCCCCCTCCCCTGATTCCTCAATACGACCACCCAGGTGTATGCCGCACCCCACATTTGACCCTGCTGACAACTCGTGTAGGGGGGGGGGGGCACGCGAAAGGCGACAATGCGCGCAAAAAGCAAGCAGTATAAAACCGCTCTTGCTAACTTTCACAGGAATTTACTTGTGGCATCGAGTAACGTATCTGCCCCCCCCCCTACCTTGACGCCGTGTCACTTTAGCACCAGAGAGTTTCAACAGGCACCAAATTTGGGGATTGTCGCCTTCCGCACCACACCCCTCGTGTACAAGCAATGTGTTCATGCACGCTAACTCCACTAGTACTTCGCTTGAAGCTGGAAAGATTTTCAATGGTGCGTTGAATTTTTTTATGAATATCGAAAAAAACAGCTACACTGTGTCCGGAAAAATCTCAAACAAGGTGGTACGGTAAACAAACTTCATAATCGTAGTAAGCTACCCTGGATAGCCTAGTGTAAGGATTTGAAATGTATGGATCTTTTCTGATAAGAATTGATGGTAAAAATGATAAGGCGCTTAAGCAGGAATAATAGAGTAACGAAGAAAGACTGAATATAAGTTGTATACTGCAAAACTGAGTCGACATAGATGACAAAAATATGAATCTATTCTAAATGAATTTGCTCTACATAAACGCTCTCATCCCAATTTTATTCATTACTTATGATTAACATAGGTCTGCAAAAAACCTTATGCAAGAAAAACAGCAATAATTACATTTTTTGAGGCAATGCATGTAAAGAATATCATTGACCATGTGGTGGTTCGCAGCTTCATTGCTGTAAGGCAACCAGTGCTGCAAGCCTTCCTGGAGCTCCAGTGACTCCTCCTCCTGTAAATGTCAAATAGTTGAAAAGCTTTCTCGTCTATTTAACGAAAATCCTACCTGGATGTGGACCGCTTCCGCACAAGTATAAGCCTTTTATGGGTGTAGTGTAATTGCTATACCGGGATACTGGTCTAGTGAAATACAATTGATCCAAGGACATTGATCCATGAAATACGTTCTGCAAATGTAAAATTTTTTCCGGAAGAGGAAAAGACTCCAGGAAATGGTAATTTGATCACCCCTCCAATAAGTCCGAAAACTTTCTCGATATCAGGAGGTGACAGTACTTCGTACCCGATGATTGAAGATGAGAAATTAGGAGCGTACTTGTCTATCTCGTTGAAGACTAAAAATTACTTTTGTTAATTTGTAAAAGCCCTAGCAACATCTCACGTGATATCGTTGATTTTGTGAATTGTAACGAGCTTAAAGGCACTGTCACCCAAAATTTCGACTCCCATATTTTGTCGTTCCAGGGCCTTCTCATACCCCCGATTCCAAATATCAAGTCGGAAATTAAACCACGAAAAACCTCCGCTTTCAGAACCCAGAGCGATTTCTTCGGAACCATAATTGGTTGGGCGCGCACGGATGGGCGGGACGAACGTCACGCCCACTCAAAGGGGAGGAGCCAACGTGGCGAATCTGTCATCCGAGCGATTTTCGAAGCAATTTTCTCGCTTCTGAAGCAGCTTTTGCCAGCGCGAGTTAAATAAGTATAAAGTAGTGGGGCCCCACTACTGTTAGGCATCAAAATCTCATAGACCCCATTTTGAGTGGACGGGTGCTTCTGAAGAAAGCTAAAGGAAGTATAGAGCAAGTTGTTTTTCTTACATCAAAGATCATCATCTTTTTGCATCATTTCAATCTGCCGAGAAGATTTGATCGGTAGCCAAATGTCCGACCAAAGGATGGATGGCGTGTGAAAACTTTTGTTTCATGACCTAATCTTAATTGCAAATAAATTTCCTGTGAAATTACAATCTTAAGGTTTTAGCCCGTAAATTATGTTTTGAAGCATTCTTATAAAGAAGAATTGTGAAGCTTAAGCCGGCCGTAGCCAGTTTGTAACCGGTGAAATTTGATTGCTGATTGCCAGCTGGAAACTCTATTTTTAGGACAGCGCTTCATAGAGATACCATATGATCTGTAACATACTACTCGTAGGAACCCTTGCTAATTTTCAGCATCCACAACAAATTTTCCGTTAGATATAGTAAAACCAAGGGCCTAGAACATAATAATATTAACAGTAATAGATAATTTTTCTATTATGAAGCGAAATCTGCAAAAGTGATTGGCGAAGGCTGATATACTTGAAGTCATTGAAGGTAAACCCAACTCTCCAAGAGTCTCAATTCCGGTTAGGTCCCATAACTTCTCATAACGCTAGATAAAATGCTTGTACACGGTATTATTGCTAGAATCCTCCTATTCCATATTAGTTTCATGAGCATTCTCGAATTTGTATAAGAATACGTGCTTGCCCGAAAAATTCAATTTCCTAGACTGCTCAATGTACAGGATCGCATAACAAGAATTCATTCTGCGACATTATAGGGAGACAGAGTTGCCCTGATTAAACGAGTAGAAGACGCACCCGATTTTTTTTCTAAACTCGATCAGCTTGAATCCTTTCGACACGAAAAAATTTCGCGACCAAGGGACCCTCATAGTGCTGCGCATTGCCTGAGGTATTGTGCGGCATAAGTTTCGTCTTCCGAAACACAACGAAGCGGCTGGCGGATCGTTTAAAAAAATCGAGAAAGGTATGTCTCGTATTCGTGAAATTAATATAATGGTAAAGTCATTACTCTTGATTTGCTGACAATATTTGGCATATAACAATGGCTGTGCGCTCCATGACCATTTTTTACGCGCAAGTAACGAACAGGTTGTTTCACAAGCTTTTTATTTCCGCGCAAATGTTGTCGATAACGCAAGCGCACTATCATGAGACTATGCGTACATATTCTGCTATTTTGATATTGTGCATTATTTGACGATAAGATGTAGATAAAATTTACCATGCTTTGCATACTGTTCTTTCCGCTCATCGCTCCATGGTCCATCCTTCAATGTGTAAGGTGTATATTGCGTGAATAAAGACATCACATGAGAGCGATCGTCAGGCACTAATGACCTATCGACTACAGATGGAATGGTCATTTCTATGACTGGCCTGGAAAGTGATGACATTTCTACAGATCTACGAGGTACTTTGCCTCCTGCTCCATCGCCCATTTCGGTAGTCTTGTACGGCTTCGTCAACAATTTGCATACTTTCACAGTTGAGATGTATCGTTGTTTGATGGTGGGGCATGGGAGCAGTACCCACATTCGGTAAGCAGGTGAACGATGGCAATTCGCGCACGGCAACTAAAGTTTCGGAAAAGTCACGTATCGTGGGAGAAGGATTTCGCCATTTTTACCATTGATTTTTGTCGCTGGCGATGTGTAGTCGATGGATTTTACCGCACGGCGGAACTCCATAGGCAAGTCTGCCTGAAGATATTAAGATTTCCCCTTCTAATCTTCACGAACAAGCCCATCCGAAAATGGAACTAACCTCTGCCACCAAATGTTCAAATGTGACTTTTGGCGTTGCGTTTGAAAGAACAACTTCTGCGTGGACTTCTTTCCCATTTACCAAACGAACCCCTCGTGCTGCGCCATCATCGACGAGTACCTCGGACACTTCCTGAAGAGCTTTTGCACTTTTGTAAAACTGCTAATGGATTAATTATGTATCGTAGTGGAGCGAGGAGCATAGAAATTGACTTCATTTTGAACATAACCTTATGCAGATTTTTCTTTCTGCAATCCGTGATGGCTCAACATGAGCTGAAGAGCAGGGAAACGGTTGCGTCAGACTTCCATTGATAACCAACTTCTTGTTTGGCGCTTTTATGATGTAAAGGGACTCGACACATCGTGTCCCATTTCGAGTTGCCTACCGTTTTCTCTCCCCTCCCCCCCCCCCCCTTCTCCCCCTGCTCATGCCCCCTCCCGACCCCCCCCTAAAATAAAACGCGAAATTCAAAAAAAAAACTGAAAAAAACTCGATTGAATTCATGAACTAGGAATTTGTGCAAACTGTTTGTATTTTCTGAATGATTTTTTCAAGGTCATAATAGCTAACACAACCTCGATAAATACAGATTTTGCATTAATCAAGAAATAAAAATACGATGGAAATCTGATTTTGTGGTTTGAAAACAGTCATCCAAGTGTTAAATTCACAAAATGAAGTTAATGGGTAACTCCAAGTCAGTTAAAAACACACCTGATCCACAAAGATCTCAGCTCCGTGACTTTGTGCAGATTTTGCTATGGCTGATGATACCTAATAATTAGAAAATGACTCTAACGAATTTGTGTATAGGGCAAATGCCACGAGATCACTCACCGCTCCCATGCCGCCCATAACGTAAGCCCAAGCTCCGCTGTGACCATCCACACCGCCGATAACGTGATGAAGCAGAACATAGCTGAAACAAGCGTTTTTCAAGTGTCATTACTCAAAAGTAAAATTATTCATCTATGTGGAAATAGAAGAGCAAAAATCTTCAGAAAAAAATCTTCTACTTTGCATGTCATTTTCGGCTTTAATGTGCACCCTTTAACAGCATTAACAAATAACTAGACGAGAAGCGACGCAGAAGCCTCTTCTCGAATTCTAACATTTTAGTTTGCATCAGACCACATCTCCGATATCTCATTTGGGATGAGCTTTTTCCTAGGCCTGTGTGGTTCAGTGCTTGAAAAATGAGACATTCACGCTCACAAAAATACAAAAGAAACTCAGCTTTTGTAATATGATAACTGCCATGAAAGTCTAGACGAAAATCCAATGAGTGATCATTTTTCAAATTTAGGACCTCAGTGAAAAGGATATCATACTCAGTATCATTTCATGTTCCACATTAGCGATACGCATCAATTTGGTATGCTTTTTTTGAACAAGTACCTATCATTCCTCGAGTGTCACATTTTTACAAAAAGTGTTAAGCTAAGCAAGCGTAGGATAGCTTAGTTTATCTGATGAATTCAGAAATGCATGCTAGAAGATATCAACAGTGGCTCATTGAAGGTTCTAACCATAAGTAACCCACAAGTGAATAACCTATATCCGTTTGGACCAGCCGTTACAGGTTATGCGCGAAAATAATTTTAGAAACCATTCTGATTCAACTCTTACCCAGTTCCCACGTCATATGGGCTGGCTGCAAATCCGAGAACTCCATCTGTACCCAAAGTTGCCTTCAGAACATCGCTCTCGAACCATCTGTCCAAGATCTATTGAAAATTGTGTACGGCAGTTGGTGACGAACTCTTCCAAATTACCTTAGCAATCGGCGCTGTCAACAGCTCGTAGAAATCGACCATATTAGATGCTCCTATTTGTCTCACTAAGAAAGAAGATCATTACCAAGGAGATTTAGGACATTTCATCTTTAAAAAACCTCGTTGGAACATTTTCCATGTTTTCTTAATCAGCTCGAATTTAGACAAGTGATGCGCATTTAGAGGCACCTCGTCCATCATCAGTCCCAACGGTTTTACCAGCTTTTCAATAAACTCTTCATATTTGGGAAACATCTTGAAATCTATTTCACATGAGCACCAACAGCATTACTGAGTAATTTTGACCTCAGCATCTCTTTTTGAGAATTTTCTTATTTCCCTGCTATTTTCCTGTATATCAAGCCCAAGCAATAAGCTCTTCTTGGAATCTCGAATAGGTGTAAATGAGGACGGATTCCTAATATGATACCGCAACCCATGCTCCTAGAATAACGTAAATCAGATTGATTGATATCATTGACAAGTCAACCTTTAGTTTCAAATCTTTGATAACAATTGGTCGAAGCAAGCTGAGCAGGTAGGATGCGCGAGAGAATTTGTAACCTGAATGGAAATATTGTTATTGTTGCAAGGTAGGAAATTTTTTATTGAACCTGGTAGAATTTTCAGTGACAGCAGCTCCACCGATCACATTTCTTCTCTCCAACACACAGACTCGTTTCCCTGCTCGGGCCAGATAGGCTGCCTAAATATTGAAAAATGATTATTGAGATTTATTAAGCCCCACTGTATAGCTTACAGCAGTGAGTCCATTGTGACCTCCACCTATAACAATGGCATCATAGGTGTCCTTTGGTGCCGCAGATGCAAATCGTCGACAAGATGTATAGAATGCCACTCGCATATTTGTCAAGAGGTCCTGAGACAGATACAAAGATTTCAAGCGATATTATGATTAAAGTCGTGTGTGATTTGATTGAGATTTAAAGATGACTTCGTACTAATGAGGAGCGCACTTACACGGTGTCCCAAAGATGTACACAGTGTTTGAGTGCTAGTATCTCCATTGTCTTTTGTTGACTGCTTTTCATACCGTAGGAATACGGTAGTACCGGTATACGGTAATACGGTAGTAACCTTGACGAGGTTTTCGAGCCGTTCAGGGCCGTTTTCTGGCCCTTCATGGCTCAAAATCCTCAAGAGGAGTTCTGACCATTTCCTACAGTAATGAAGAACGATCAATGACCCTTTCTCATAAAGGAAACCAAGCGAACTAATACCGTTACACTATCACTCAAAGTCGCTGACTAAAACATGGGATTTGCACTTTGCCATAGTGCGTCGTTCATAAGACAAGCTAAGTACATCAATATTTATTTCATTCACAATTATCTAAGAAAAATGTTTGAACATGTGATTTCACCTTTCGAAACTTGAAAACTTTTAATTGATTAGCAAAATCAGCGTGCGTGAAACCTGCCGCAAACTTTCCAGATATTGGGACTATTCCTGGACAGGCTTAATTTACAGTGACGCTGTGTGCTGGAAGCTCCCTGACCTAAAGTTTTGAAAAGCGATTCGTGACTAGGTTCATACCATGAATCTGAGCTGGAAACCATGGTAACTGAGAAGCGACGAATAACACTGGAGCAAGAGGGGGTGCGTACCACTTGCACGCCTCCCGCAAGAGAGTTATTAACGATTAAAGGAGTGCGCAGTTTTTTCGACACCCTTATACTGGAAGTTGCAAATAGAGAAGATATATACAGGGCATGAAGACACTGATTTACAGCTTGAACTGGGTTAAATCCCTTTTTTAAGCGAAATTTTTGAACCCACGGCTACCAAGAATCACTTGGTCAACACTTCACGGAAAGAAAACGAGGCAAACTTAGCAACTAATATTTTTGCATTACAATGCTATGGTGTCAAACAATTTGTGAGTGATATCAAAGTTTGCTAGACACCTTCAAAGTTGCACTAGAACGTAAAACTTTACGCGCTATTATCAAAGAATAACAAGTGACGAGATCATTTTTACACTGTATGCGAAGTATAGCGTACTGATTTATTCACCATACCCTGTCCTCAAGTACATTACTAACACATGCTAGAACAGATCGAAGATAGATGAGCAAAAATAAATCAAGGATGTGTCTACACTCCTTCATTGGCAGAAAGCAAAAATTGAAACCAGGCTACAATGCCGCCCCTAACTCGCGTGAAGAAAAGGCCAAACAATTTTTAGCCGCGGCAGATATTAGGGTGTCCCATGATTTTTTTCCGTTTTTACCCTAAGCATTGGCATTTCTCTAAAATGAAGCACGTTCAAAGTTTACAAATACATGGCCGTACTTCTGTATGTATGAGCTATATGATCACGTGGGTGGGAGGAGCCCAGGATGTGTAGAGGCGGAGTTTACCAGTTTACCCCATTTTCTTTTTCATTTCTCGCCATGAAAAAGATCCGGAAATAGTACTATTGAACGTGCGAAAGCACAAGCTAGGATAAATGGGAAATTTTCAAGACCTTTTGGGGAGGAGATACGATTTTTGAGGGAAAAGTTTTTTTCGACTGCTATCAAATTTCAGCTCAAAACTGTCGTGAAATACGATTTGGGTGGATTCCTCATAGCCATCTTGCAGAGCTTGCTTTGCCCTGTCGAATGGTTACTCAAGCCACATCAGTTGAAGGAATAATTCAAAAAACGGTTGCAATAAAAACGATAAAATTGATATATGTTAGTTGTTTTAATATTCTATCAAGTCAGTTGTAGAAAACACGGCAAAATTTTCCTGCTGTGCTTGAAATCTCAGACAAGTGTTTAGATTATCGAGTAAAGAGTAGAAACGAGTTTCGAGAGCATGATTTATGAACTCTATTCCAAAACTTTTCTTATCTGCATTTTTGAGTTTTTTCTGAGTTTGCTCTGCTCAATATTCCGACGCTCTCATGCGCCAGGGAACGACGTGCTGATCTTACTTAAAAAGTTCTAAATTATCAGAGGTATGTAACATCCCTTACTTTTGCTCATATAGAATGTCCATTGAGTCGGACTCAACATTTCTGTTGTAGATTCAAACAATCATTCTGTAATTTTATGTATGAAATGACTGACAATTATGAAATATCACAAATTTAATGTATGAATACTTCAGAAGGGAAAGATATTGATAGTACTCCACTTAATGGACTGAGAAACAAAGATACTATCTTCACTGGCGTTCAACGAATTCAACCGTTTCCCCTACGGGATGTTCCACAGCCCATTTCACATGCAATTCGTTGGCTATCCCACTCGGTACCGAAACTGTCCACTCCAATATGCCTCCCTTCATTTTTGCACCTTTCTTTGGGAGCTCTGCTGCTGCTGTCAAATCTGAAAAAGAGAAAAGGAATTATTTGAGTCTAGAGCAGGGGTAAAACAAGCCTCGCGCAAACTGTGCAAAAGGAGACAATTCAAAGAGCTCAAATCCCACAGGTCCAAATTTCTCAAACGAATCCTATAATTACAAGGGTTTTTTGGAGAGAAAAAAGAGCCACTGTCGTAACCAAATTCGTTGAAGAAGATACGATGTATGGCACAGTAGGGGCTCTTCGAATTGCCTCCCTTTCGCTCACACTTTTGAATGCAGCATAGTATGCGCGAGCCTTTTTCGCTCCTCTTCACTGGCTAATGTGTCATTAGCTAAAGCGCCAAGAAACTGTCTGGATGTACCAAAAAGCATAACGGTTTGATACATTTTTGGATTTTAATTCATCATGATCCAGAGAAATGGCCTATGTCCAGAATCTTCCCGAACTAAACTAGAAAAGTAACGATTATGCAACTGAGCGAACGAGAGTTGGTTCGAAACCAGGTTTTTCCCGCCACCTGTCTAATTGGACCTTTGAATAATGTCTTATGCAGAGAGGCCACCATAAAATCATATCGAAATAACAGGTTGATCCGAAGGTCTCTGCTATCTGTATGGAGTTGCCTCTGCTGAATTTTGTTGGAACGAAGAGATCATGCAGTTCTAACCGTAGTTCCAACTGCGTTCTATTAAGCACATGTGGCAGAGTTTAGAATCAAGAAGGAGATCACTAAAATCGGTAATTTCGAGCAAGCTCACCAAAAATCCGAAAACGTTACATAAAATAACGAAACAAACAGAGACATCCGTAACTTATGGAGTTAAACGATGCGTGCTCTTGACGGTATATTTGATACGTCGCTGACGAGAAATGAACAGGCTTTGAATTTTTACCTGAGTTACTCGTTTCCTCGGACGTTGATACCGTGGGGTTGATCAAGCGTACCTAAAGCAACGCGATACGATGTAGCAGAGCCAAAGTTATTCAAGCCTTAATAAGGAATCTTTACGATAGACAATTGTCAGGATTGTCAAATGTCATGCTAGCTCACACATACTCAGACAAATCACCGGAACTTCCGCAGGACAAGCCAAATTTGCAGAAGTTCCGCAGGATTTTGTTCACTATTGCAAAAATGAAAACGTTAAAAATCGGAACTTCCGCGGGATTTTCGTGTCAAACTGGTTGAAAACCGGAACTTCCGCAGAACCTTCTTCAAGATCCTGCGGAAATTCCGAAAAATGTCAGAGGTTCCGCAGCATTTTTTATCCTGCCAGAACCTTCGCAGGACTTTGAATGCGTTGCATCGTGATGTTGCCTCGCCAACAACTAGATTGCATTATCGAACATGTCAGCCGTAGCGCAGAGGATAGTAGGTGGGTCTCACAGTCAACAGAGTGAGGTTCAAACTCGATTCGGTGTTCTCTTTTGCTGTTGTGGTTGGCATTCTTCGGAACTTCCGTAGGACCTGATTTCGGAACTTCCGCAGGTGACCCGGCGGAACTTCCGCAAGCGCTCTGCGGAAGTTCCGGTCATTTGTCTGAGTAAGGGTGAAAATGATTTGAAACAAGAGCAGCACGCCAATAATTCGATTGATTTATATTCAAACCTTGATTTTCTCATCAGTGCTACGGGGGACTTGTTGCTTGACAGTGATTAGCGCTGCATCGCTGCGTGAGTTTTTCACAACAATCACTTGCTCGTACACCGTTGAGGAATTTTTGTTGATATATCCAACCTTAATACAAAGTACACTTACTAAGCAACAACTAAACTTTCAGGAGTTCTGAATTACTCTACTCCCAGGACTATAAGAGTCGCACCCTATCTGCTATAAAGGCAGACATTCAGAAAATTTTCCCGTGAAGCCACTTTGTTGCTGAGGAATCTCAGTTAAGGGGAAATGCGAGAAAGGGTCCACTCAGCGAAGCACATGCGTTACGATCTGAGCGGACTGCTCACATTTCGCGCAAATAGGGTGTGCTTATAAGCTAAAAATAGCATAACCTATCCCCCGTTTCCCAACTTTCTTCGCAAACTTGCGTCATCCCACCGCCACGCTAGCTATGTACGCAATCATACCTCTTCATGATACTTCTTGACTGGTTTGTACTCAATCCGAAGTGCTGTGTCAACTCCAAGTGAGCAAAAGAAGTTCTCTCCAGGAGACACACTCTTTAGAGACGTCTGCAATTAGACTGTGTTCAAGATTGACTAAGAGACCATAAAAGCAGTGTCCGAACACATTCTCATCCTCGGTATTTTTGTGCATATTTACTTGTCCCGCGGATTAAAAATGCACCTCAGAAGAGGATTGACAGATTCGAACGCAAATCGAAAATTTGTCATGAAAACGACTGGCGGGCCAGAGTCAAGCATGACTTCAGGCACATGTTCTCTAGCGATAGAGAGACAGACATAACTATGTTGTTCCTGGAAAGTCAAGTGTAGCACAGGAAATGCGGGCAAGAGATATTGATATATTGCTTTTTTACATTTTTGCTTTTTAATCTCGTTTTCGAAGCTCAAATTTTACATGTGTAGGTTTTGTAGCATGCTAATTACGAAAGTCTTACAACAGTTTTTTGATTTTACGAAAATCTAAAGTACTACCATTGTCCCACTGCGGGAGTAGTGAACAAAGTGGACTATAATCGTGATCAGCACATGAAATGGCCTCACTCCCTCATCAAAATCCACGATGTCGGGTAGGTAAGGAATGACTATCGTAGGATTGTCGTACAATGCCAAAAACTGAAATAAATCTTATTTTGATAATCAGTACCGTCCATAACGCCTCTGGGGAAATTCTTGGGCACCAGTGGCGGTCCCAGGATTTCGGACCCGGGGGGGGGGGCGGCAAAAAAAATTTTTCAAGTGAAGGTGCGTGGCGTTTGTCACGCTCTCCGAACAAATTTTTGGGGTGCTTATCAAAATTTTTGCGGGTCCCTACCCCTAAAATCTGGAACAAGGGAGCGTGGCGTCAGCCATGCCCCCGAAAAAAATTTTTTATAAGGCTAATTTGAATTTTGAAAAAATTTTAAAAATTATTTTAATTCTTTACAAAAATAAACAAATCATTTGCACATTTTTATAACCCATCTAAGTAAATTTCAAGAATTTCGCGACCCATTCTCGGAGGGGGGGGGCCGCCCCCACCCTCGCTCCGCCACTGTTGGGCACATATTTTTTGGACACGGGTGGTATCTTGACAAGTTTGACAGAGCAAAAAGGCTCTAGTCCGAAATGGCAGTAATCAAAAAATCCTTGCCATAAATGTATAGAATTTTGGACGTCGAGGTATTTGAGAAGCTTTCTGCTTGAGTCTCTACGCAGTTGTACCATTACACATGAGTATATAGTGCGTCGGTATAACGATTATTTTTCAAGTTTTTTTGCAAGTTTTTTAACTAGTCCTTTTAAAGCTGTGATTTCCCCTAGTGAAGGGGTTGGGACCAATTTTCTGATATGGTAAAGAGTCCTAAGTTTACGAGTCTCAATAGCAAGCTTGTAAACTCTGAGGTATTTCAGGTTCAAAGCTACGAAGACTCAGGCAACCTGGTCATTCGAAAAATTATGCGTAACCCTCTTGAGTGACTGACCCTCTTTCTGAAAGAGCTACTTTAGCCAAATTTATCGGTGAAAAACGCGATAGTAGCGTTGGTTCCTGTAAACCCATTATTCACAAGTGATATGAAATGCAAGTCCTATTAGATTAAAAGGTATTGCAAGAGATTACTACTGATTTATTTGTAGGTAATGTTGACATACTAATCTTCAAAAGGTTTCAATCATTTTGCACATGAAACCTTTTGAACTCTAGAAAATACTGGAAATCATATAAATTATTGGCTTACATAGTCAACTAATCTGATTGACATGACTAACAAAGCGCTGACGCCCATTCCGTAAGGTAGCGCATCTTTGGTGAGACTGCGGTAAGTGTACGGTACGAGATCAATAGTAATTTGCTGGGACGTTGTGGCTGTTCGGTATATTGCTCAAAATGCGTATTCATTAATGTACACTCACTGATATAGCATATTTCCTGTCTACCAACCAAACACGATCGTAGCATTTTCCTAATCATTTTAGATAGGTTTTGTGATCACCCTTCCTACCCCCCCCCCCGGTTCTCCCCAGTTCCATCCCCAAGACCCCGCTCTGTGGCGGTATTTATCAATTTTCCACTCGCACTGCGGGCCATTGTCAACGACAGCCCTCACAGGCAAGAGCGCCCTTTCAGCGATTTATGAAAAGACCCGACTCGTCGAGATGGGGAACTGCTACCCGTCTGTCGTGCCCCATCACCAAACTTGCCAGATCGAACCATATTCAGGAGCCCGGTCACCAGCTTGGCTTCATATATCGCGGGCGCCTTGTGCCCGCCCCGTACGGGCTGTGACCTGTACGGGAATCCCTTCCCATACGGGAGATTGATAAATACCGACCCTGGGCTGCTGAACCATGCTCTTGACTCTGACCATGGTCGTTTGTTTTCTAAATTATGACTGAGTGATGAGTACACTCCGACTTTGGAAAGGAGAAATTCGTTTCTATGGAATAATGAGCTAGTCCTAGTCGTGTGCCGCTTATGGAATGTCACAGCTAACTGTAATTTGCATGGGCGATGGCTTAGGCAAGAAGCCTTCCCTGTCTCATCAAAATCTCAGCATCTGAACCTGCCAACCTTGCTCGGACACTGCGTTTGGAGAAGAACTAGTTCTTACCTTTGATACAAAATTGTTGTTTAAGTAAACTGTCGCATCACCAGGCAAAAAGGGAAGTTTTGAATTGTTGACTGCCAATGCAGTCAGAAAAGCGCTTGCATTTTTCGATGGCACGCATTGGTGAACCATTTGCGGAGATAGGTCAACAATTCCAATGGTTACCTTAATACGCTCTTACAAGACAGCAAGCCTTTTACGATCTCACCTTATGCTCCGCTCCATCCGAGGGAATGGCAGCTGGTTTAGCTATCACAAACTCTGTGCTCAAAGCATGCTGTCCTGTCGGTGCCACCTCTGCCATCTAGTGAACTCACTGTAAATGAGAAAGCCGCATTTGATGTACCAACTTACTCTAGGTGCCATAGCAGCCATATCTAAAGATGCTCCACATTCCTCCTCAGCGCTGGAAGAAGACGTTCTGCGTGGTGCAGCGCTGAAACTTAGATGTGAGCAGTCACTATTCTAGGTTATCCGGAATTGTAGGAGTTTTCAGTCTATATGTGGAACCTCTTTAGTAGCATCCTACTTCGCCTAACTCCTCCTCGCCCAAGATCAGTAGGAGCAGGAACAGGAGGGGGAGGAGGGCGATACAAAATTGCTTCAAGAACTGCCAGTTCCGGGATATTTCCACCCAGACATGGCTGAGCCGTAGAGAGCACCTAAAATATGTAGCGAATTTGTGCATGAACTATCAAGTTTTCTCAAAAGCAAAACTAATGTCAGTCTTGCGATAAACAGCTAGATGCTGACCATTACCCTAAAATCTCATAGATAGGACCTTTCCTTAGTAAGTCCGTCTGCAAATATGTTCTGAGTTATCTGGCAGTTTTCAGACTTATCTGGCAAGATTCTAGGGCGCAGTTTCAATGGAAAAAAGGATATTTGTAAGGCCCCGGACAGACTTCACGCGATTTGATCGTCGCGACTCAATCGCCGACATTTCCATTCATTTTCACACATTCAAAAATTTCGGGCTGGAAAAGTATCACAACCGAAATGCAAGTTGATCGGCATGGAATGATGTTGTAACAGTTGTCTCGTCGCGATTCAGTCGCGACGATCAAATCGCGTGAAGTCTGTCCGGGGCCTAAGGCGGACTCAACTGAAGGGTTCTTAGGGCGTACTTATCTGGGTTAAAAAAGGGCCTTATAGAGTAGTCAATATAGAGAGAGAGGTGGGAGGGGAGGGGGGGGGGGGGGAAGAAGAAAATTTGCGACGCCAACTATATACGTGAAGGACGTGCTATCAGGAGCAAAGGTCGTCCAATTGTGAGTATGCGTCAACCCTTCAGGACCTTACTGCAGATTGAGACAGATTGTGTTTTCATGTAACAAAGGTTTTACGGCCTGCTATTTCTCTTCATAGCCTTTATGTGAGAGGGGTGGCTCTAAAAGTGCATTGTTTGTTGAAATAGAATTTTTTTTTTGAAATTCATTGTTTTAATCTCTCAGGATTTTCGAAAAATGACAGATTGCACGGTATGCGCCTACTCCACCCTCTCCACGAGCAGCTGGCACGAGTTCGTAGCATGTAGAGGTGCGCGCTTTGTTGCAGTTGTCTGCATGCTCTCTTTTGATGGCACAATGGCACAATTTTTCGACGAATAATGGCGTAAAGTGATAGACTTTTTTTGACGTCAAGTTTGGCTCTCAATTCTCTCCGTTAGTAGGAAAAGTTGAAAGTGTTGAGGTTGTGATTTACAGATTCAAAAAACATCGAGGATAACTAAGAGTGAAAAATGTAGATTCTGAAGTGAATGCCAATTATATCTATATCGCACTTTAATCATGAGCACGAGACCAATTGCAACCCAGGGGAAGAAAAGCATACCAATAATGCGTCCAACCAATCTTCTCTAGTCGTCTGAGAAATTTTGCCAGAGTACGTTATCTGAATACCCACTGATAGGATAAACTTGATATCAGTAAGATATTAGGTTGTCCCGAAAGTCTTGTCGGTTTCTTTCATCTCTCACCAAACCTCACAGAACACCACTCCATGAACGGCCTAGGTGTCATTCTATTCACATTTTTATCCTCTTTCTTATAGCTGTATTTGTTCCCTGATCTACCCCGTCTTTGCGATGTTATCGCCATGGCTTTTTGAGCAACTCAGCAGTAACGCCAAAACTTTCCTGAATTTTCAAAATTTTTATCTTGATATTTTCAACGAGCGCTGGTGACTGTTATGCAAGGCAAGCCTTTGGCTACATTGTGGCTATTTTAGATTACGTGGGCCGTTTATCAAGTCCGTAATAAGTATTTATTTGAGAAAAACCGCGGCTTTTTGAACACGTTTTACCACGTAAAATTACCAAAAATTCCAAAAAGCTGATTTTTGAAGCAAATCAAACTTGATTATGTTGCATAAATGATGTTTAATAACAATCAAGTTTGAATTCGCAAAAATTTCAAAAGTTTTCATGCTTTTGCTGCAATTGCGCGTTTCATGACCTAGCCAAAAATCGAGACCTCAGAAGAAATAGTTTTTTGAAGTCAAAATCAGCAAATTAGGAGAATCTAAAAATACCATCTTGTAGCCCGAGAGTTGCATTATTTGACCCATACTTGACCTTTTTCGAAACTTTGTAACGAAAATCTTAAAAATTAGCTCAACTTTGAGCAGGTAAAATTGACAGGTGGAGAGTTTAGGCAATTACCAAAGAAAGCATATAACATTATGGTATGAAACTGCATCCATAAATAGAGAAGGAAAAGCTGCATCGGATGCATGTTGAAACTCGCTCAGGTCTTTATTGTGCGTGGTTTTACAGTGGTCTGAAAAAACCGACAAAACTTTCGGGACAACCTAATAGTTTGCGGCACCCTAAGCGACGGTTGTTTCCCGGTAGTGTCCACACGAATATCGTAAGAGGGACTCCAACTGGCACCATGCACTTGATAGCTGACTTCCAGTTTCACGTGACCACCTTTTTCGCTTTCAAGGGTAATAATGATTGACCTGGAATTTTTGGCATTGACTGTGAAACATGCAAAAAATATATTTTAGAATTTAGTCCTAGTTACTTGCTGTAATGATATGCTGAGTTTTCTGCTTTTGCAACCCGCAACTCTGCTTTCAAAGCGCTCAGTTCTCGTTTTGCTTTCTCCAGATTTTGGTCAACATTGCGCTTTTCTGAAAAAAATTCGTTCACCGATGAAAATTCACATTAAAAAATTTGGCCACCGGTGCGGACGGCCATCGAGTTCTCTTCGTGAAAGAGTAAAAGTTGCTTAGATTTTTCAGTGCTTCTGCATTAGGTGCGAAGGACTGCGATGCTTCACCTGGAGGCTTGGCCACATTTTTACCAATCTGAATAAGTGAGTTCAAAATTTAAATTCAAAATTTCACATTTACGCAATATATTTCAGTTAAATATAGAACGGGTTATCGTTACTACAAAAAATCTCAAAGTGTCTCTTCTAAGAGTGACCTCCCCAACAATTTCATCCAGCACTTCCACTCTCCTTTCCAAAATGCTTTGACGGTCTTCAAGTGAATGCACTTCCTTCGATTTCTCGCCAGACTTCGCTCGAAGCGCAGCGAGCTTAAATTTCAGAACAACAATTTTTCTTTGTAAAATATGTCTTACCTTTGGAGAGTCCGTCTCCTCCTGAACAGCAGGCTTATCGCGAAGTTGAACTTCGTGAATGACACCATCACCATGTCCATCTACTCGAACCGAATCGTCAAGGATACGTTGGGTCACGTTCTGAAAAGGATACCGAGCATAGAGTAAGTTGTAGTGAAATCCGGAAAAAAAATTCAGCTTGATAAAGCGAATTATATAGTACACATTGTGCCCGTTTTCGATGGTCCATTGTATTGTATTGGCCTGTATTATAAGACTATCAACATGTGTTGTGGCTCATATGAACAAATTTTGAAAATAACAAAGTAGTATCGTATGACTACCGTATCACCATGGACTACGGGCTTAATGTATACTAAAAGATTCGTCACATCATGCTGAAGCCAAATCTTCTTGCAGATTCCAAATAAAGTTGTATTAGGAGAAGTTGTAAAATTTTACAGTCCCGCAAATCCCGCAAGGCCAAATTCCACCGCTACAACTGTACTATGTGGGTTGAGGGCCCTCAACTATAATTTGTTCCCGCTAAAACTGAAACCAAGAAGTCCAATCTGAGGGTTGAGAGTCATGACGATATAAAAGCAGAGTCAAATGTGTAAACGCATGAACCCTTTGCTAATAATAGGTGAAGAGAGTCTGCCATCCAGAATGGTGATTGTACCATCAAAGTTGTAAAGCACTGTTTTCTCTCACTACGTCCACCGTTCAAGGAGCGGGCATTCAGCGTATAAATTAGGGGCGGTATTTAGGGTGTTAAATCGAGCCTCCGCGATAGCCGGAGCACTATTTTATTTCGGGCGAAAACGCGCCACATATTTTTTTCGATTTGAATTAACGTGTCTGTGGACCTACAACTTTTTGCGAAGCTACTTGAACTCTCGCATGTAAACAACCATTCACAGCATTTAGAGTGAACAGATAAATAAATAAATTTCAAAAAAGGGGTGACGTTCACCACGGTTAGTTTTCTAAAAAACGCAAATGATTTTTCACATATAAAATTATTTCAATGACTAATAATTGAAATCAAGATTACTTGTATAAAGTAGCCTAATCTAGAGCAGAACTCAAAATTTGAATAACTCAAAATTATTTCATAACGGCATCACATTAAGCTTTCCAAAATGGAGTGCATGATAGGCGATTTAACGATTCCAGATTTCTCGACTCTACACGGATCTCTAAATGGATTTTTGCGTTCTAACTCTTATCTTTTCAACACATGTATATTCTTCTACACTGCTTTGAAATTTTGGAGCAGATCTTTAAGCAAAATGCGTCAGGTCAAGAAAGCCGAGAACCACAGAACTTTCATGCTAAATGGTTTCCTAAGCCTCACCATCAGGTGCTAGTCTAGTCTCATGGCTACAACGCCTCTATTTCAAAAAAAAAAATTCAACTCAAACCCACTGGCGCTCCTACTCAGATAATCGCCGGGGGCAAGCGGCGATGCGATTTATGGGCAGGCGGGCACCGGAAAAATAGTTCGTTGATTTTTTGCGGCCCGCTTGCAGAAATTTGGAAGAAAGTTGGCGAAATTAAAGACGAAAGCTTGAAGAACAATCGCGGTTTCTTTATGGATTAGCTGCGGCGCAGTGGCCTCATTCTCGCGGACTTTCCGCGAGAATATGCAAAAATTTCGAGGGCCGCACGGTCCTTTGTGGAGGACCGCTCAACCCTCAGGTACTTTCCGCTGAGAGAAAGTACCTCAAACTTGAGTAACTAAACCAACGGTGACACCTCTGCCACACAGAGTCTTACCTGCGCTCGACGTACGCCCGAAAATGCCTAAAAAGAGTCCGAGCGCTTGCTGAAAATTTGGCCAGCGCTCGCTGAAAGAAACTATTTGCGGAGCGCTTGCAGGAAATTTTCTATTGCTGCCCGCTGGCAGAAGACGAAAGTACCGCCCGCTGAAGGTTTGGCCACGCCCCAAAATTCTGCTGACCGCCTGCAGAAAAGCGCGAGTTTGCGGACCGCCTGCCCCCGGCGATTATCTGAGTAGTATTAAAATTTGACCGACATAGATGACATTAGCATAAACGAACAAAAAATTGGCGCAATCAACATCGGAAACTAAAGTCATAGTTGATCTCGATTCAACGATCATGAGATATTCATGGAAAATAAAAAGAATTTTGGTAATGATAAATTCTTGTGTTGCTTCCACCGCTAATTCCCTTTAAACCAGCTGAACTACAGATGCCATAGCGCTTTCGATAGCAGCACACGTTATTTCTATATTTGTTCACTATGAATCACGCTCGATAGGACGCATCGAAAGTGATTGTCTCGTTTAACGCGAAAAGATGAAAAACTGTTGCCAAGTAACCAGTTTTTTCGTGCATAGGAAAAAACAATTTGTTATAATAAAATAAGATATAATAATAAATATAATAATATCGATTCAATGATACAGTTTTTCCCAGGAACCATGACAAAAAACTTGTTTTATACTTCATTACTCGGAAAACGAATATGGAGGCACCGCGTGTTGGTGATTTATGTATCATCAACCTCACAATTCTATAATCCTAATAGCTTGCGGGTATTCCCCATAGGCTATATTCCCCAATCGCTTATATTTAAGTGCCGATTCACTCACCAATGAGTGGCACCTATCTTCCAGGGGCCGCGCCAAGCCGCGGCATCCTCTTTCTTGCACATATTTCCTGGACATTCTGATTGTGCACGGGTCAGCTCCGCCTTACTACCTATATAAGGAGCCCCCGATTGTATTATAGGTTGCTCCCCCGGTTCACACCGGGTTCGTCTGTGGATAAATTATTATCGACACCACTATCGCCTACGACACTTGGTTCCCACCAAATTGGTGCATCGACCAGTGAAGCTACCTCGTATTCTATCTGCAACCGGAGGAATCGAGGCCACAAGACCCGCGTGGCAGGAAGAAACCAACCGACTATCTGAAAATTCCTGTGTATCCTTTTCGTAAGAGATCCAGGGAGGTGTAAGAAAAATCGGAAGGCTACCACTGACTATCTGAAAATCTTTGTGTATCCTTTTCGTAAGAGATCCAAAGAGGTGTAAGAGAAATCAGTAGGAATACCACTGACCATCTGAAAATTTCTGTGTATCCTTTTCGTAAGTGATCCAGAAAGATGTAAGAGAAATCAGTAGGTAGCACATAATCACACTAATACGTGAAACTTTCTGTGAATCCTTTCCGCAAGCGATCCAGAGGGTGGAACAAATTTTGTGAGTGCAGCACATAACCACATAAGACCGTGAAACTTTCTGTGAATCCTTTTCGTAAGTGATCCAGAGAGCGGAACAAATTTTTGTGGGTGCAATTTTCCAATCAATCTCATAGATCTCTCGCGAATCCTATCCAAGGACCGGAGATCAATACATTGAGATTTGAAAGGAAGGCAACTTGAGTCACAGGAGCTCATTTTGCCAAGAAAGTCAAAGTTCGACCAAGAACTCTTGACCTAAAGGATTGAAACCCAATCCTTATCTGGTCAAGGTCCAAGCCACCTTACCAGTCAGCACAGCGTTCAAGCCAACCAGGCACGCTTGCTCATCAGAGATCAGCACACAGCTGTCTCTATTCAACAACACCACTAACGAGCCTGCAAGTTTGCGAAAACCTCCCTACTTGTACATTGAAGAAACAGCAAAGCAACCAACTTGCTGTAGGACAAAAAGAGAAGAAGTCGGAATTGAACTCGAAGATGGCCGCACTTCAACTTTTCAAAATCAGGATCAACAATGCTGCAAACTCGTGAAATCGCACGAGTCACAAATTAATGACATTGATGTTCCCTTCACATTTCCTGCGATAAAAGAACAATGTGAGCTGTACATCAAAGAGAAAACAGGAGTAATAACTAATTTCCTAAACTCTTTGCATAACGCAATGAAGCTCCAAGAAACGCAAACCAGTGCCGCTATGGAGTACATCAACACAAGGAATGATGAGAAAGAAAGGGAAAAGCTAATGACAGAACTCAGCAAGCACTTAGAGCTTGAATCATTTGATCTAGAAGTAGTTGTAGTGGAATGGCAGACTAGGATACAGTTCAGACAGCATGAACTGAGGGAGCAAATGACACTTTTGCATACGCCTGCTCCTAGTATCCCAAGCCAATCAGCAAGCGAGATAGGACAAGGCTCAGTAACGGAACGAACTGAACGCCAGATCAAAGTGCGGAAACCGCTTCTAGAGATTCCCACATTCTCTGGCAACTTCAGAGAGTTCAACAGTTTTTGGACAGTGTTCGATTCACTTATTCACTGCGACGAAGACTTATCGGACGGCGACAAATTTCTTTTTTTAAAGCAAGCGCTCAAAGGAAAAGCAGCTGCTGCTTTGAACTGCATCCCTGTCGTTGGAAACAAATACAAGACAGCCGTAGACATCCTGAAGAAGCACTTTGATCGCTCTGCCAGTATGGCAGATATACTCATCAATGAAATCGAACGACTGTAAGGAGCAAAAGACAATCCCGAAAGTTGCCGAGAAACTTTCGAAGCAATCAATTCGCGGATCATTCACCTGGAACAAACCGGAATGAAGATGAGCGCAGACAGAATCTGGCGCCGACTAATCTTGTCGAAATTTCCTGAAGCCATCTGCGCAACCGTCATACAGAAGGAAACCGTAGTTGGCGATCACTTTGATGTTTCGGAGATCCTAGACGCGATAGATGACATCATCTCTCTTCGGGAAACGACTGCGCTAACAATGAAGACACTTCTTCCAAGCAACATTCAAAGAAGCAACCATCTGGACACAAGTACTGAAAGTCCGAAATGGAAAGAGGAGGAAGAGTATCTCGAGCAGTCTCAGTTTCCTGCTAGCACTCATCATTCGCAAGTCTCTAAGATACTGCAAAGAACCAACTGCGATCATCGCAAAACAAGTGAAGTACTCGTTGCACGGCGAAATGGACAAAAAGTCTACAGCTCAACTAAACTGCCAATCGTGTGCCAAAGCGTACTTCAAACGGCTTCAGCCATGATATTCAACGAGGCAATTTGGGATTATCAACCCATAACAATACTGATTGACTCTGGCGCCCAGCGAAGCTTCATCAAATCAAAATTTGGTGATGAGCTTAAGCTGCCAGTCATCCAAACGACGTCATTCACCACATCAGGAATGGGAGAATTGAAAGAGACATTCAGTTCCAATGAAGTGCAAATTACTTTGAAAAGCTTTCACAACGCAAAGAAGCTTAAGAAGATATCAGTGCACACGAAAGAGAAGTTGACTGCCAACTTACATACAGCACATCTCACAGATGCAGATGTTCAGTTCATTTCCAATAAGAACTTGAAGATAGCTCAAGATACGCTTACTCATAAAAGCGTCTTGCCTGAACTCATTATTGGACAAGATCTTCTGAACCTCGTCACTGTTCACACCGAAACAGTGCTCAAGCTTCCCTCAGGGCTCATATTGACCCCGACCATCTTTGGATATGTCATATCTGGTACAAGCCGTACCAACGTCACGGAGATCGTCGGCACTTTTGGTTGTACATCCATGATGCAGGAAGCCTCCAAACTCGCTTCTCACCCGCAGCGACGCCCCAAATGGCTTACGACAAAGAAGACGTTCACCGTCTTCAATCAAAACGCTACAGCTGGAATCAACAGGAGAATCTTCCAAGCGCATACTGAAGTAACATCTCAGAAGATCGCGAAGTCGTTATCGAAAAAGAAGAAAACCCGGACAACTGCTTTCAACCGCAAAGCTAAGGAAGACAGACAACGCTGGCTGGCCAAAGTTGGCTGCATATTAGGCTCCAGTTCCAGCCCCAACACGAGGAGTGCGAATGGAACTCTTGCCAGAACTCTTCAACCGACGACACAAGCTAAGATAAAGATGACGGACATGCCCAAGATCACACATCACAACCATCTGGTCACGGAAACGCCCGCTATCACGAAGACAACCACCGACGACGATTCTGTCAACTCAAAATCGACGAGAGCAGATCCGACGAGGAAGAAGAGACAACGACGAAAGGTGAAGCCACACTACAAAACAGCAACCACCAACCACTACAAATGTTCGCCGTAAATTCTCTTCTGTCTGTAGCTCCCATAAGTATGACTATGTCTATACAAATCTATGCATTAGTTGTATCTTGTGCTTACCAGATTAACTTCTTGCTTGCTCGCCCGGAGTGTTGATGATCTATGAATCATCAACCTCGACAACCAATCTAATAGCTTACACTCGTGAACACAGCTATATCTCAATTTCTAAGTACAAATGCTTTTAGGAGGTTTGATTGTATTTATTGATTTACATTTCAACAGATTTCGCCTCCTCCTTGCTCGCCCGGAGTGTTGGTGATTTATGTATCATCAACCTCACAATTCTATAATCCTAATAGCTTGCGGGTATTCCCCATAGGCTATATTCCCCAATCGCTTATATTTAAGTGCCGATTCACTCACCAATGAGTGGCACCTATCTTCCAGGGGCCGCGCCAAGCCGCGGCATCCTCTTTCTTGCACATATTTCCTGGACATTCTGATTGTGCACGGGTCAGCTCCGCCTTACTACCTATATAAGGAGCCCCCGATTGTATTATAGGTTGCTCCCCCGGTTCACACCGGGTTCGTCTGTGGATAAATTATTATCGACACCACTATCGCCTACGACACTTGGTTCCCACCAAACCGCGCAGTAAAAAATGAATTGATGAAAAACCAGCGAAGTTGACTTTCCTCTAAGGGGATGCTTTTTTATAGCTACTCAGATAATAGCCGGGGCAGGCAGTCCGCAAACTCGCGCTTTTTTGCAAGCGGTCAGCAAATTTTGGGGCATGGGGCCAAACCTTCAGGCAGGACAGAGCGCCGCTGCGGACGCTGTCGGCGTCTCTACCATGCAGCGCTGTTTTATCCCTTTTGCCGTCTGCTCTCTCTTTCAAGTAGGGACTACCTCAGTCGGACGCAAAGGCGTCTAGTCTTTGCATGCGTGTAGTCGCCTATAAACACAGCCTGCTCAAATAGCTTCAAGTGTACCTCAAGCGATTATGTAGAAAGATAATGGGGTTAATTAGAAAGCGTTCATGTCTTCCACTTTAGGTTATGCACTTTTACATGGATGAATTTTGCAAACAGTCTTGCGAGACTTGCCTCGATGTGCACTTCATTCAAGCCTGGTTCCAGCTTGCACTCAACGAGACGCTTCACCTCGGCTCGGTCGTTGAACACAACCACACGTTTGAGGACTTGATCTCGACATTCGCACTTGATGATGTTGACCGTGCTTTGAGCCACAGGAGCAGACATTTTCTTATAAATGCAAAAAAGCCGATCTCAAAACGACTCGATGCAAAAGCGGAAGTGAGTGAACTTGAAATTCTTCTAACCTTTGATTCAACAGGATTGGCGGGTGAAAGGTGACCGCTCGGAGCCGCGACACAGTATGCGTCTCTCTCGCGAGCGCGCTCTGCAATCATTCCCCACCCTAAATTAGGCCTTGAAGCTGCCTTCCAGCCGCCAATCCCATTGAATCAAAGGGTATCTCATTTCACGAAAAAAAGATAAATGGTTGCTAGGGTGGTGTTGCTAGCGGATGCCTACGCAACGCAAACAGTCGTGCTTTGGTATTATGAGTAAGCCACTTGCCAACAGCGAAGAGTTGAAATGGGTGGCAGTGCCTGCCGCGTCGCGACGCCGCGCTGCTAGAAGTCAAGTGATAATCAGAAGAAACGCTCGGTTGCACTGTGCATAGTGCAACGCAGATGGGCAACCGTGATTCACATGAAAATTTCCCAATATGCTTGATTTAGTCATTCTTATTCACTTACGATTGAGCTCCTAACTCTTGGGAAAAAGACGGATTGCCATAAATTTTTCCGTCGCTGCTTATCGTGAAAAAACCGTCGGATTGCTATAACTTCTCTTGAAGCAGAGTTTTGAAGAAACTGAAAACATCACTGACTGCTACGAATCTGCCGGCTTAGAATTTAGGTCTAATTTTCGAAAATACTCTTGTTTGACCTAGCGACGTATTCGTCGCGAAAAACCGTCGCACGGCGCTAATTTCCTTGACTGTAAAGTTCACGGATCTAAGAATATATTTTTGACTTCCTGGCAAGTTTCTGATATAGAAAGTGCTTCGAAATAACCAAAAAGCTTCTATACACTGCAAAGCAGCTCGAATACAAGTATGCATTATGTGAGAATGCTCATGTCTTTCCTTATGACTGGTTAGAAGGTTTTCGTCGAATTCAGGTCAAATCTACAGTTCACTGAAGGAACCGAAAGCAAAGTGCATTGCGGTGTTTCACCATTACTTTCGATTTATCAAATATGATGCTGGCTGATTTAGTCCCTCAAGAATTAGTTGTACTGCATAGAATGCGCCGATATCGAAAATAACGAACGGTAAATAAAACGTGCTTGAACAGTATAATTAAAAACAGTGTTCGTCCCTGAAGATTCAGTCGTCCTCCTTGCTCAAACATTCATTCTCTTACCGAATTTTCGTTCCTACGCCCGATAAAGCAGCTCGAATACAAGTAGGTATGCATTATGTGAGAATGCTCATGTCTTCCCTTAGTAACTACAAATTTTAAAGTAGGAAGAGTAAGAAAAAGCTGTTTTTTGGATTGATCTGTTCAATGTAATTTCAATTTTACCTGAAACTGCTTGTCTTTCATGTTTCAAGCTTTTGCTTATGTAGCATCACCAACCTCGTCATCGGAAAAAAGTGATTCATCACGTTTTTTTTCACTTTTCTAGTATAACTAACCCGGAAGTTTCTCCGTAAGACATTCTGATATGAGATAAATTCCAATCACTGACAAAGGAACTTGTCTTGAAACTGAATGTTGCGCGCTGATTGTGCAATGTTGAACCAATGTTACAGTGGCAGACTAGATGGTGGAAGGAAGCAGAGGATAGCCTTTACCTCCCCTCCCCCCCCCCCCCCACTTCGCGCCTCACCACCCTGCCCCCTCCAATTCCGTCATCATACATGGAATGGATACAAGTTCTAGAAGTGGTCTATTTGTGGTTTTTTTTAGAGGGTTACTCGTCTTACTTGCAAATGATCAAAATAATTGCATTGTAGAAATTTTGAGATAAAATAAAAAGTTAAGCGTGGCTGCCGCAACCTTTTTGTAAGATTTTGAAGACAAAAAGCGAAAAAATCGGGAAGTGTCCCAAAGATATTTTCGAAGCATTTCAACAATAATTGCCCTCACTCCTTTCTACAAAATTTTCCACTGTCTAGTTTTGGGTCTTCTTTTCTAAACACTTGGTATTTTAATCAATCACTTCAGCTATAGAAAAGTCCAGTAATTAAGATGATCTGACTTAATATTTTTGTGCTACTTATAATCGGGTATACTTGTGATTGTTCTCACATTTTATGGAGCACTTCTCAAGTCATGCTCAAAATATTTGATGCTAATCGTGTTCGATACGTCTTCTTCCATTGTTTGTAGTTTAGTGAAAATTAGGTATTTTATGTTAAATTCAAAAAATTTCTAATTAAAGGGCTATATTTTTATGAACCTCCAACAGATTTCCTTTGTTCGTATGGTATGGCTCGTTGAAAAATGAGCTTTCTCGGCTTACGATATGAATAACTAATATATTATAGTACATCACAATGAAGGTTGTTACATATTAGAACTGGAATCTCACAGTAAGTTTTGAGCTCAAATCCCGCAGTCGAATTTCGGCGTAAAGAAAATTTCAAGCGCTTTAATTTGAATGGTATCACATGTGGTGCTAGTCAAGAATTTCGAAACTGGCCTCTTGCCTCATGTACACATGATGCTTATGCAGTGGCAGACTTGAAAAAAATGAACTCGAAAGATTCAAATTCAAAAATTCATGAAATATCGAAATAATTCTCGTTCAAAAAGGACATTCCATACTGGTGTTAGCGATAATCGTGGCAAATACCTGCCCTAAAAATAGACAAACATCCGTGAGTCATCTCAACGAACATCAGCAACAAAAATCGGCAGAACGTGACTAAGGGCATCTTTGTAAACATATACTATGCAGGCACACACTGGAGGCTATTGATGCTGCCGCATTTTCGATTTTCTTGTCTACTGAGCAGCTCCTAGCGTTGGTGCTAATTTTGGCAAGTCTTAATAATTCCTATTTTTAAATTTACGTTTGTGAAAATCAGCATTTCGAAAGGAATGCGTTTACGAGGGGCTGACTCATCCGTGTGCCGTTCTTTGGCCGTTTCATCGCTCGTCAATGCCAGCGCGATTCAACCCTGCTGTCTCGCTCTGCTTGCCCAACAACGCCCGTCCATTTCCACCTTAGCAACCGCCATTTCTCAACAGAAATTTTTTCTTTGTCTTATTATGTTAAGAACTCAATTATTCACACCACACTTGATTTCGCGCATTAACAAGTCGTCCTTTCGCATCAGCTTGATTTTTCTTATTATTAGGAAATGTCTGAAGAGAACTCGGTCAATGTGATAAAGCAAGAATGTCGAGAGCAGGCTCTCGAACGTGTGGTTGTGTTCAACGACAGAGCAGAGCTGAAACGTCTCGTCGAATGCGATTTGGAACCAGGCTTGAATGAAGTGCACATCGAGGCAAGTTTTTGCACAATTGCTTGCAAACATTGTACAAAAAAGGGCATGAATCGCTTTGTACTTCATATCCAACCCTTTTCAATTTTTGTATCTTGTTTTTCAATGCTGTGAATATGTGCTAGTTTGCAATAATAAATTCGAATCTTAAATATGTGTCAGTGCACATACCCTCCACATTACTCGTTCAAATCTTGGATGCTTTGAGCGTTTTAAGCTCTTGATACGTGAAATGAACGAAGACTACCAAATAGACGCTAGAAACGCCTTTATCGTAAAACATCGTTTCTGTAACCAGCGGCGATTGAGTACGCGCAATGTGGAGGATGTGTGCATTGGCACACATCAAGATACGACATGGGTCAACTATGTCCGCGATCAGTAATCCCATATCTTTCATTTTCCATAGTTTACCATCATCCTTTCTTGTAAGTGCCTAGTGCCATGGTATTACCAGTTAGGATATTGCTTTCAACTCTTATCACATTCAACAATTGAGGTCCATTGAATTTTTAGTGACACTTCTCATTTTTTGGGGCTCACGCTCTTCAAATGTTACCCTATATAACAAAGCTATTTCCGGCTCATTTATCAACATGCTTTTTGCTTCTTCCATTTCACCTATCTGCTCTAAAACAGATAAGCGCTTTTTTTTCGCTGCAGCGTGACTCATAGTAGAACAAACAAAAATGGGCTCGAAAGGCGCTATCTCGGGGCCTGCGTTCCTAGCTAATGTAAATCAATTTCGAAAGTGGATACAGCTTTCACATAATCTTTTTTCGAATTTTGCAATCCTGACCAGCATATGTCAGCCTCAAAGGTTCTTCAGGCTCGCTTATCACGTGGCTCCTTTACATAGTGAGATCGTTAAATTTTATTGTCCTTTCAAGTGGGCCATTTTGACTAAAATCGATTTGCAACGGTTATGCTCAATTGAACAATAATCGCGAAATTACTGAAATTTTCACACATAGTTAATGTGCAAGTGACTTGTTTATTCTTGGAAATAATCAAAATAATTTTCGATCTCTTAAAAATTCAAATTAGCCTTGTAAAAAAATTTCGGGGGCGTGGGTGCCGCCATGCACCCCTTTTTCTAGATTTTAGGGGTCACGGACCCGCAGAAAATTTGAGAATCAGCCAAAACATTTTTCGGGTTGCGTGTTCAGAAAAAAGTTTTGCTCCCCCCCCCCCCATTCCAGACGGAAAACCTGAAACCGCCACTGCTGCACAAAGGGCTCGGCACGAGGTGGCTAGATGAAATTGAAAAAAACGAAGTCCCCCTTGACTTTTGGGAATTTTTACGAAGTCCCCTTTGACTTTTAACCAAATTTCCTCTAAAAACCTGAAAAATCCCCAAAATCCCCCAAAAAACGAAAAGTCGACTAAAAAAAAACGTCGCCAAGTCGCCAATTTTGCGTCTCCCTTCGGTCACAAAAACGAAACCCCCTTTGCTTTTTGTCCCAAAAACGATACCCAGCTTCCTTACAAGCCACCTGTGCCGAGCATGACAAAGATACTGGACGCAACTGCGTCGGAATAAGATAGTGCATGTTTGGGAGAAATAGCAAGGGGTAAAAATTGAAAGCGCATTTGATGATGGAGACGTTTTTTACCTCGACTTCCAATATCGGTGTGAAATCAGATCCTCATTATTCCCAATTCCCTATCATTACACGATAACGATCTGAGGATTTTTTTTTGAAAGAGTGCGCAGAAGTTTTTTTTTTGAATGAAGGGAAAAATTCTTTGGGAAGATCGAATTTTGCGGACCTGTAATAATAAACAGAAAATTTGCAAAACTAAGTTGAAATTTTAAAAATGAATTGGAAATATTCCAGATTTACAAGAAGAGTCACTTGCACCATTTGTAATTGTGTAGGCTATTTTCGGAAATCGATCAAATTTCTGAGTGCGTAGACCATGATTTGCTGGTTTATTGTCGAGGTATCA